TCTGAACTGCTCTGTATGTAAGTTGAGTGGGGGAATACCTACTTACAGTGACTGGGGAGGCCTGAACTGCGAAGTTTGCCGTTCCATTCCACTTTTTGCTGTATTGTCACTGCAACATTGACTCTCGTAAAGTTGATTCTATCTTCGTTAATTTCAAAAATTGATACACAAATAAAAGGGCTCGACACTTGTAGAAAGGATCCTCCGATTTTCAGTGACTAGAAAATTTCAGTGTTTGATTTTTTGGCCCCTTCCCTTTTTCGGCAGCCATTTCCCCCTGCAGTTCACATCCCTGCCTGAATTCAGGCACCTGCCGCGCGTCTGACAGTGGCACTGCTGTGTGTGAATGCCCGTATGGATACAGTGGAGACTATTGTGAGACGGAAGGTAAGCAGATTTCCTTTCCTTTCCCCACCCCCCCCATCTCAGCTGACCCATGACCAGTCTTTTCGAAATCGGCATGCATATATGCCCATTCATAATTAGTTTTAATTTTATGGTCAGTTGAATACACTCTCCAGTAAGCCAGGTATTGCACTGAGCACACGTTTAGTGGGAGAAGTGAACACTTATGACCAAGAACATGTCCAATTTTCATGAAAGTGGTGTCAAAGTGACCGCAAGACGTCAATGGAAAAGGCCCTGATAGCTAGGCATGATGAAAGATTGCACTGTGGTAGTGTCTGACAAATTGTCCACCTTCTTAGAGTTATTTACGAGCATTATGGTGCTTTATCACGTCTTCTCGCTGTTTTAAACAAACCACTGCTTGAAGCAAGTTACAAATTAGGACGGTTTCAGCAATACTTGGTAATTAAATATAAAGCCTGTTTCATATCTTCATACATGTACTATGTAATATATGTATCGGAATTTGTGACTAAAACTGGTATGTGATTGACTGAAACTGGTATGTGAAGGGCAGTTGACGTTTTGTCATTGTCTGGGATTAAATTGCAGATAACTCTGGGGCATGCCAGTCTGGCACTTGCCAGAATGGCGGGACGTGCTACTCTTTCCATTCCCACTCGTATTTCTGTGTATGTCCACCTGGGTGGACAGGAACACACTGCGAAATGAGTAAGTTGCCATGACGACACACTGCCTCCAATACAGGCATTTCACAATAGTGGGCCACCAAGAGCGTGCATCGCGTCGACCAATCACAGTGTGCGAAATGCGCTAACCCTTTCCAAACGCCCATTTCCAGTTGACATGTCCGGACGTGCCAACCCATTCAAACGCATTGTGTACGACGGCCAATGCATTGTAAACTCTCGACGGCGCATTAGTAGGAATCGGCTGTATTATTCATTGGTAGTTATTTTCCTGAATCAAGTTTCTACCATTATTGCTCTTTTCATATTGTTCACGTTTCATGACCCACAAAGAAACCTGTCTTCTGTTGTAGGCATCTGTGAAGCTCGTTTGTTTAGTCTTCTCATATCTACATTTAGTAGAATTTAACACTGATGAGACTACGCTGCTCCAAATTCTTTCAGATACTTGACAATTTTATCAGTAGCCATTTTCACAGACAAGCTGTTACTGAATGCAGTGGTGGAAAATACTACCCAGCTTAAACTTTCACATTTTCACACAAGGTGGAGATGGAGAACTGTTTGTTTTTTCTTCCTGCAGATCCATGTAAATGGGTTAATTAAGTTTTAAAGTAATTGCTATAAGGGTCATTCCGTGAGGTTGGGGCACATTTTGTGACGGTGTCAATTGTCACATGGGTCCGTAAAAATGAACAGCTATTTCTCTGCATGTGGATTCCAAATTGACATTGTTATCTTGCAAGACTGAAAACTAGAGGTGTGTGTTAATTTTACAGAGTAAATGACCTACTCTACAGGTCATGACAGATGGTAAAAGTTACCCATGTAACAAGGACACTGTCACAAATTGTGCCCTAACCTCATGGAATGACCCATAAAACAGTGATCTTTAGTCGTCAAGATGTGATCTTAATGTACATGTATGCTTTACTGGAAGTGCATTTCATACCTTTGATATCCGATATCCATCTAACAGGTAGCAATGTGAACCCCTGCGACACGTATACATGCTACAATGGGGGATCATGTTTTGATAGTTACGGAGTCCCCTACTGTACTTGCTACGGGGATTGGACAGGACTTCGGTGTGAAACACGTGAGTTGATGTCGTCCACTGATAAAATGCTGCTGAATATGGCCAAGACAACGCTTGCTGAATTTGTTATATTTTTATCAAAAAACCTACTGGCTTTAATCGCTTTAAATTTATAAATGTTAGGACTGTAACCTTAAAAAAGGATTTATTTAAAATAAAAGTTTTATAAACATGTATAATTGTATGTGACATTGGGACGGAGATTACAAATTTAGTCAAGACACAGATTATCTTCAACGTTGTATCCTTCTTCAGTAATGCATGCAAACTTTCTTACTTGCCAATGTGGATATTAAAATGCATTGAAAAGTGTACTCCTTTAAACAGTTGATGTTATCACTGCTTTCCCAGACAACTGAGGGTGTTGCTGTGGTGTCATCCTGTGCAGGGAAGACACAGTTCATTGCAAAGGTGTTTCTTTTCGAAGTGTGAACCCAGAACTTAGTTACTGAAAACATTTCTGAGAAAGGAATTGATGCCTGCTCATTGTTTAATATGCATATAAACAACACAGAATCAGCAAAGAAGAGGAAATTACGCACAGCAGGACTGTTTGTGTAGAAACCACTGTAACTTTGAGGCTTTCTTCCTGAGAATTTTGCTCATAAATATGGAAATACTCAGCCTAAAACCCCAAAAGGCATTAAAATACCTTTGAAATTGTGAAACCAAACTTGGGAATAAGGTGAGCTGAGACGCAGGGTTGTATGAAAACAAACTGATTGCAGCCAGCCTTTGAACCTATAAAGTGAAAATCGCTTGCACTTTTAGACCGTTATTTGTAACTAATTTTAAATTGCAAATAAGGACCACTAGTTTCGGTGGGAAAATAAGTATGCACAACTGCGGGATGTTAACCAGATTTTTCTCAAAGCTTGTTCAAATAGACAGCTAAATTGCTGGCCATGACTGAGTTTGATTACCAGGTACCATTTGTCAGCCACCGGGCAGCTTTGCCCGGTAACCAATGCATCACACATATTCAGGGTACCTTGTAAAATGGATACCAATTGCAGAGATTTTATGTTTCTTTGATATGTTCAAACGTAAAGCCTGTGTTGAAACCTAATTTTTTTGTTTTTGCCTTTCTTTCTTGCCAAATCTGCAGCCATCCAACCCAACGTGTGTGACAGTTATGAATGTTCAAATGGATACTGTTATGAATACCTTGGCCAGCCTCACTGTGATTGTGACTACGGTTACACAGGGGAACATTGTGAGACTGGTGAGCTGTGATTCTTACATTAGATACCGGCCAATGAAGAGAAATTATAAAGGCCTCCATCAACTAGCCATCAAAGATTACCTCCCAGAGACATTATACCACCGTGCCAAATACATGCAAAGAGAGACAGGTGTTCCTTTGTGTTTGGTTTTTTTTCCCCTGTGGTTTCACAATATCTTTTTCTTTTGTATTACAAGCAGAACTGTCAGTTGTAATTCCACCTCTTTCTCTGTCTGGTTGAATTAGACGGATGGGCGTTTCACCTTTGTTGACATGATGCTTGAAAGTTTGTTGCGGGACGATCCGTGATTGTGGACCTGTGCATATGCTGATTATATTAAATGATGCATATTAAGCAACACTTATTTAATTTGCTAATTCAACACATGTGTTTAATGACCTACCAATCAGTTGACTGGGACTTATTCAGTTGTTTAGTAATAAGGACTAACTTACATGGTGCTCTGGTCTATCTCCCCTGGACAGTGTGACGTCATGATCAAACTTCCTTGTTTTTCTTCCCAAGTATTTTGTCACAGACTTTTTGTTTTGTTTTCTTGTTTCATGAAGACTCTGACCCATGCCAAAACTACTCTTGCAATGATCGCGGCTACTGTATTGGCTACTATTACCCTTCCTGTGTGTGTTACGAAGGCTGGACCGGTGCTCGCTGTGAAACAGGTATTTATAAAGATGAACAAAGAAATTGACTGGAGCAGGATTGAACCTGCGACCTCCGGATGAGCCCAGTGCTCTACCAAATGAACTGTCCAGCTCTACATTGGTGGCTCTTCCCATTTGTCAATTATCTTCGTTCCGGGGGGGTGCTAGTCAGAAGCCATAAAACAGCTATCTTATACCTGGGCAAGTGATTCTAAGTGATGTTTGCAGTTTTCTTGTTGTTTTGCAAGTTTTATTAAGTCTTGTGAGACAAAGGACTGATTTTACACGAAAAAGGCATTGTCACCCAGTACAGTGTGAGTTGAACAGTGGATACGAATAGCCCTAGTAGTCTCAAAATCTCCGATTTCAATATGATTTTGCATACACCGCGGGGGGTTAGGGTTAATGCAACAAACCACATAGCTGCACTCAGATGGTTCACGATACAGATGCTCAACATTCACCTTTCTGTCTCAGTTAATCTGATTTCCAAGTTCGGTTTCCATAGATTTGTGTGCTAATGATATTTCCGTATTCATGAGCAAACCTTTGATGTTATCACAGGAAGAAAGCCTCAATTACGTTACATTGGATTATTTGTACACATAAAATGTCCTGCGTTTTAGTACATGTTGCTCTACTAAATTTTCTTTTCCTTGGTGATTTACTGTAGTTTATGTGCTCAGCAATAAGCAAGCATCAGTCCCTTTCTCCGAAAGCAAACCCTGGGTCCCCAGTTTGAAAAAAAAAACTCCTTTACACTGAACTCTGTCTTCCCCAGATAACTTCATGGCAACAGCGCCCTAAGTTGTCCGGTAGAGCATAACTGTCAGTGTAAAAAAAAGCGCACTAATCCATTTAACCAAATAGTTACCTAAAAGAGTTTTCATACATTGAGGAAGACAACAAGGTTACACAAAAATTGTGTCTGAGTAAATTAATTGCAGCCTCAATCCCTGGGGGTCATCATCAGGAATGATCTCCAGTGGACTGACTAGCTGACCATGTAAATTACATCACCTCTACCTGCAGGAAGCTGTACATTAATAGGATAGTTGAACTGGTTTGGAATGCCAGCGTCATGACCTTGTAGCTGTGTTTGTGTCCTACATGAGACCCACTCTAGAATATTACTGTTGTGTTTGGCACTCATCATTAACACAAAAACAAGTTGCCCAGACAGAAAAGCGTCCAAAAACGAACCCTTTGCACAATACTTGGCAAACAATATTATGAAACATATGACCAAACGTTGAACATTTGTAAAGTCCCATCTCTGAGTGACCGTTGTGAACACTTGTGTAGGACATTTGCAGGCCAGTTGTTAAGACAGTTAACGGTTTCCCGATTGGCTACCAGCAACTTGAGCCTGATTGAAATTAAACGTAGGACTAAGCATTACCCAAACAGTGCTTTACCTTACATTGTTAGACAGTTGAGCAATGACTTTTAATGGCTTCAAATAAACATTGCATATTAACTGGAGTGGGTCAACAGCTTTATATCTGAATTCCTCAAATGATTTTGTATTGATAATTTTGTAATCCAAGTTGCTATGATTTATTAAGTCTTGTTGCCCATGTACCCTATGCATCACAAATATTAATGAGATTGCAGTATTCGTAAGATGTTGAGCATTATCTTAAAGATGTTTTTTTTTTAATTCGAAACATTTCAATTCTCAATGAAAACATGTTTTAATGTTTAATTTTTGGTATGTCACATTATAATGATTGTTGATTAAGCTGCAATTTAGCCTTAATACTAATAAATAAACCATGAATGAATGAATGTACTCCAGACTTAGAAAAGGGCAACAGTTTGTACAATAGAGGTACAGGGAGGGGATTTACCTTGAAACCTATTGTTTTAATTTCAAAACAAAAAAGATCATGAAGTGGCCTCCTTTCTTTTTGGCATGAGCCATGATGAACTCATTTTGCAATTACCATCTCCTTGCCCCTTCAGAGTACATCGACCAATGTGCAAATGTCACCTGTCAGAATGGAGGCTCCTGCTACTATACCTTCAATGAGGCATACTGCTCCTGTCTTGATCCCTGGACCGGCCCACGCTGTGAGACAGGTATCTAGAACGGCTGTGTTCGCAGACGGGGTAACGCTTGCAGTTACAAATTGGGTTGAAAGTTTGGCTTTATACAGATTCTGATGCTTGTGTCCCCGAGCAAGCTACATTACCCTCATTGCTTGTTGTTTCCTGTGAGCTATGGGATCGCTGTTTGGCAGGAATTATTAATTTCACGTAGGTTGGTATTGGTGGAACCAGTGATGAAGTTGAGTCCATCACTATGTCCACGTCCCACAGGTCTGGAGTCCGTTACTGAGTCCAGAAATTTGAGTCATGGTTCGAATCTGTCAAAAAAGGGACTCCACAACAAAACTACTGCTCGTAACTCAAACACTGAGCTTTGCATTGTCAGCAGAGCCGGAGATCCATAACCCGCTAAACAACATCAAGCATAACAGGAGCAATGAAGTGCAAGACCCAGCTGGCAGGAATTCATTTTACATCCGGAACTCACAGCTACCGTCAATGTTTTGAAAGCCCAACTTTTTCTTTCAACAGAGATGGGTAGTCCGTGCCGTACCTACAACTGCACGAACGGTGGCTTCTGTCTAACTGACCTCTATGGCGATGCGTACTGTGCATGTCCCCCTGGCACCACTGGCCAGTATTGTGAGACACCGATTGGTCAGTTTTTTTTTTTTTCAGTTTCAATTTCTGAGCGTACATTTTGTCATATTTTTATGTATTTTTGTTTTAAAAAGTTCCACCAGCATTTCAAATTCTGATTTATTAGTCTTGTAAGTCAAAGAGCAGATATGAAATTCTTGTCGTGTAAAAGCAATAAAAATAGGAGTAAAAGCAGCAGGCAACATCTCTAGCTTGTTTCAGTCAGATTCTTTCTGATTAGAATCAAGACAGTTCTGACCCAGGTTCTGGCAAAACCCAGACGCTTCCTCTGTTTGGAATGGGATCCTTATAATCCAAAACCCCAGCAAGGGGGCAGTTCACCGCTCACTCCACAAGCCTTAAGATTGATTCCAATATTTGACCTACCGAATGGAGTTCCAGCCAGTCGGCATGAAAACATAGAAGGACAAAGAGGAAATGCCTGTTTGTTTATTCATTCATGAACAGAGGATAGCTGTATCGCAGATTTCTGCCAGAACGGAGGAACGTGCTATGATTTCTTTTTTCCTATCTGCCTGTGCCCTGATGCATGGACTGGATTACAGTGTGAGACTGGTGAGTATGAGGGATGCCCACAGCTTACCAAAACCACTGAATTTGGAGTTTTTCTAGTAACTGGTTTTTATTTCTGTTGATCTTGAAGAGCATGACACCAGCATGAGGGCTATTTCATTCAAACACGAGTTATTCAACAGTTATGACAAATTTTCTGTCTCAGCATAGACCAGTGTTGTAATGGAAACCACATAAGACCTTCACAAGACCAACACAAGATCAATACAAGACCTCCAGTCTGAATTCAAGTCAAATGCTATTCAAATGAACTGTAACAAAAGCATTCCTTTGTCATTGCTCACCCTGTTACTTGTGACTCGTCTTGTGAATGGTCTTGTGATATGGCAACACTGGCATCATGAAATTGAATTTCCGGTGGCTTTCACTTTGACCTCTAAAATAGTGGATTGATACGAAACAGACTTCATAAATGTCTGATGCCGTGAATGGATCTCCATGCAGTTTTGAACTGACATTTTTTGTAACATTTGCGCACAAGATGTCGACTCACAAAATAGTCACAGCATGTAAAATAAGTTTTGCAGAATGAAGAGATCAGTTTCTTATAAATGCTTCTGTTTTCTGAATATGATCATAGCTCAGAAATAAGTAGAATTATTCAGTCTGATTACTGCTAGAGTCACTTCACATAAATAATCAATACACAGAAACGTTTTGAAGCATTGATTATGAGGGATATAGATCTTAGTAAATATTTTGAATACATTTTTTTTCTTCTGGCTAATAAAAGAAATTAAAATTGAAAACAAAGTGAGTGATTTTATCAAAATAAGTTGACTTTTGGAGCTATTGTTAAAAAAAGGCTGTATATAAAAGAAACACAGAAAATGTGCTGACCCTCCCTCACATCACTAATTCATCATCAGGGGCTGCTCATGGTATGGCATACATTACATTACCAACCTTAAAAGCAAGGTCACATAGAGTCTTTGCTTGGTACCCATCTTGCAGGATAGAGTTCTAGCATTCCACAGGGAAACCTCCTTTGGGCATGCCCTGTGGAACAAAACCACTGCCCCGCATGATGCATGGTAGCCATGAAAACCCTCTGTAGGTTTTGCATTATTAGCTTGTATCTTATGTGGCTCTGCCTGCATGCTCCGTCTCCTAAATCTCGGGCGGCGTTCCATCAGCTCCACATGTATGTAGCAAACACTGCTTGCAGTAAGCACAAAATTTGCTTAAGCATGAAAAAACCTTACTTGGTAAATCAGGTAACTAGCCAAAATTCCATGTGATGTATATTTTGGAATCGTATTTAGCTACTTTTTGGTTAGCATGACCATCAGATAGAGTTTTAGCTGGTAATCTTTGTTTATTAAGTAAAGTTTTTTCCCGCTGAAGCAAATTTTGTGCTTAAGCAGCTCTATCAAATTGACCCCTGGTCTGAACGACACAGTTGTATTTGGGGACATTGTAAACAAAAGGCTCTTCCCCCTTCATCTAACTCAGTGGCACCACTTACAACTTGAATCTCATTCGCACAATTTTGATTTCGTACCTACAACTTCTAAATCTCAACTTGTACGTAAGAGATGTAAGTTGTACATAAAGACTTATAAGTTAAGGTGAGAAACAATGAACTTATAAGTCATTTAACTCGAGGAAGAGAGAAATTTAACTTCAACTTTAAGACCCACGGTAAGTATACCAGGAGTGCACTTATCAAGGGGCGACAATCAATGTTCAACAATGGCACAGGTATTCCGCTGCTGTGACTGTTCCAGGAACCGTTTATCTGTTATACTGACAACCATGTGACAACCGTGCGCCCTGTAGTGCGCGCTTGCAAACGTCAGAAATCCCATGTCTCCAACTGCAAATCTTTCATATCTTGCTTTCAGAGAGCCCCTGTTCGTCTTCTCCTTGCAAGAATGGCGGTTCCTGCATACCTGACTTTATCAACCCCAGTTCGTTTACCTGTTCCTGCATTGGCGACTATGCCGGCCCAACATGTGAGGATGGTGAGTACTTGTTAAGTCTCTCCTGATTGGCTCAGTACCTGATGTGACATGTGTCACATGACACTGCTGTTTTTGTTTTGCACAAAACAAAAGGACTATTAACCAGCAGCCTCATTTTGAGTTTTGCTGTCAAAACAAGTGCAGATGCAGCAACTCGTGTCTATTGGGGTGAAGCACACTTGCCTCGTACTTACTTTTCTCTGTACAACACCAAAGACCTGTCATCCGAAAACTGAATTGAAGATGAGAAGTCTTGAAGGTTTGCATGGTGAAAAGGTATAATAGAAAGTAGGTTTGCGGTAGAACCATGGACGTATCTCTTTGGTGAGTATTTGTGGTTCTGAAAAGAACCTATGGTACTCGACGTTTCGAGCAGTATGCTCTGCTCGTCATCAGGAGAAAGATCCTGATCTGCTCATCATCAGGAGAAAGATCCTGATCTGCTCATCATCAGGAGAAAGATCCTGATCTGCTCATCATCAGGAAAAAGATCCTGATCTGCTCGTCATCAGGAGAAAGATCCTGATCTGCTCATCATCAGGAGAAAGATCCTGATCTGCTCATCATCAGGAGAAAGATCCTGATCTGCTCGTCATCAGGAAAAAGATCCTGATCTGCTCGTCATCAGGAAAAAGATCCTGATCTGCTCGTTATCAGGAGAAAGATCCTGAATTGAAGATCATACTGCATGATGACTTACCATACTCCTCCCAATGCATGGCACATATGCGCACTGCTAATACAACAGTGCATTTCAACCATGCAGGACCATTAATCCCTTCAGTGCCAAAGCTGGGTGACCTGGACCAGCAAACAAAAATCCAAGTGACTCAGACTCAATAGTGCATTTAAAATGGACATTAAAAGATGACATTAAATAGACCCTTCATGCAAGGCTTAGGTTTTCTCGTCACTGACTGGGGTGTAGTGTTGCTTGGAGCCCGTAGGGAATCATTTCGCCAATTTTTGTCATTCAAGTTCAATTTTGGGGCATGCTTTTGTGTTTCTTACTTTTCTGTTGTTTTGTTCTCACTTACAGATCACCCGTGTGCCTCAAACCCCTGCCAAAATGGTGGTACCTGTTTACTTAGTTTTTACTCGGACCTCGATTTCACCTGCAGTTGCCGCAGGCCCTGGGGTGGAGTTCATTGTGAGACACGTGAGTACTACATTGAGATTGCTCCGAAATTCCAGCCAAAGCCTGCATGTCGGTATACAATGAAGGCAGGTGGCAGTGATCATTGCTATAAAGCTGACAGTTTTAATCAGCCATTACACTGAAATGACCTGCTTCCCTCCTACAGCTTGGATCAGCCATGGGTTTTTGAAACTTGGTAAATGCAGTCTGACCGACTTGGTATAAAAGCACTCCTTATGACTACATCTGTGAAGTTCCAATTCAATCCAGCATGCAGTTATTGTTAGTACAGTTATTTAAACTTTCACGGGGGCATGCCCGATGTTGAGCTAGGGCCCAGTGGTACACTTCTACTGGGCATTGCTTTCTGAGCTTTCATTTGCGAACTTTCTTCTTTTTTTTTGCGGCCATCAGACGAGGACTGTGTCGGTGTGACTTGTTTGAACGGTGGAACCTGCTACATCAGTGTGCGTGGGACCCCAGCCTGTAACTGCGTCTGGGGTTACACGGGTCACAGCTGTGAGACAGGTACAATAACCCTCCCCCCCACCACCACCTCAAAAACAGATCCTCTTCTTAATTCAGTTTTGTGGTCTTTTCAATCCCAAAAGCGTGCTTTGTTATTTCTGGATTCACATTTGAAGCAAGATATGGGATGGAGAGAACCCCCCTGCCTTTGTGTTGGTCATTGTTTGATCAGAATCTCAGAAATTCTTTACTGACTTCCAGGGGGGATGTGTTAGGTAACAATAGTCTACAGTGTGTATAGCGATTGGACAGGTAAGGGGGGTACCCCGCCGTCCCATATCTTGCCTGGTATATGGATTCAACTGGCCTATAATTGTTTAGCGTTGGAAAATAATCTTCACCTTTGTGGCTGTAGAGTACCCAAGTGCGATGACATTTTGAACCGGGAAGGGCAGTGCAAACAAAGCGAATTCACACTCATGTGGCACACACTGGTTCTCGTGTTGACATGATGCCTTGTACACAAATATCATGCACATGATGTATTTAGGCTGCTGTCCTAAGTGTACTCTTCATGGAAGGATTACATGTCCTGTTTGTGGAGAAATACCAGGGAATTTGCATTCTCATAAGTATCTCTTTTTTCCAAATAGCCAAACAGTTGCATATGGATGCTGTTATGATTTTTTGTTTGGAAAATTGCCAGTGAAAAAGCTAGAGGCACCTAATTATTGAAACATTGAAGTTTGCCCCCCAAAAGCTGTTCTGTTGAGGAAGGCACAGTCGAAAGTGATTGTTCCTATTTGGCCATTTCACTAGATAATCTGTGTGCTTTTATTCAAAGTACCAGCAACTGCCTTTCCAGCAAGTCCATCTTGAATCTTCTTGCCTCAACTTTAGCACTTGAGAAATTTTAAGGGTTTCTCTGCCTCTCCTGTGCCCATTACTTTTTCACGAGATAGACCGACTGTTTTAGTTGAATTTTTTTTTTCTTTTCGTCTTGTACTTCACCAGATAATATTTGCGATATCACCGTGTGCCGCCACGGTGGAACTTGTGTCCAGCGAGGCGCCAACCGAGGAACATGTGTATGCCCACAAGGCTACTCTGGACAATCCTGCGAGACAGGTACATGTACACACATGAGTAATGAAATTGTTCCTAATGCCGAGTCTTCATTCCGCTTTCTGCGAGCATGTGTGCTGCGCTGAATGGAATGCCGGGCACACAAGTTGATGAGGTGGGTGGGTGACTGTTCAGGGTGTTGTGGCGACTAACCTTGACCATTCTTGCCGAAAATTTCCCTGCTGCGGGGGTTCGTTGTTTGTAACTTCTGTAGAATGCCACTTGGGATTTCTTCTCCTTTTGATTATCCTGGGTTTATATATATAATGTAAAGTTAAACGATTAAATTCAAACCGGACACCAAAGAGCAAACTGGACGGCAAACCACCAAAGCTTTAAAACCCTAACAACCCTGACCATTAAAGCATTAATGCTAGTGCAGTTACACATGGAAAAAAAGCAAGAATGCTCAAAAGTGAAAGTACACCTTATGACAACAATGATGGCGTTCATGCCTCAGCAACAAGAATTTCAACAGGTTAAAAAGAGGCAAAACACTGAGGGGTATTTAGCTAAGATAATCTCTAAAACTGCAGAATGTGTCAAGAATTTTGGCGAACTAAAAAGAGAACTCAACACATCTAAATGCAAAACAAGAGTGGTTACCGCAGAACAATATCGGAACACATGATGTGAGATGCGACTTCGACCAAGGACATGAATAATCATGAATAAAGTGATAGGTTTCATGTACAGTGACACAGAACATCACCAAATACTGATTGTCCAGAACAACTCCAATAAAAAACCAAACAACTAACATACGTGTAACAACATGTAAGGGTGACAAAATATGTTTACTGCAAAGGATCATGGGGGATTGCTTGTTTGATTAGGGATTTCTGCCAAACCACAGTCTCATTAAAGATATTCATACCTGGCCGGAGAGTTAATGCAAATGGCCTTACATCAGGACTTCCCCAAGTGTTTTACTGAAAAATCCCAACGCATGAATCATTTGATTCTATACTATACCCTATTTTGCAAACTGCTAGCAGGGCAGTACCCCCCCCTGAGAATCTTTATTGTTTCCCCCTGCCACAGATACTGTTTGTGTTGACGGCAGATGTTTGAATGGAGGAACCTGCACAAACTTGGGATCTGGGCGAGCGAGTTGCACATGTCCCCCCTATTTCAGCGGTCAACGATGTGAAATAGGTAAGTGGTGTCATTATAGCACTTGAAAGTTCTCCTCAATCCTTCCCTGAGTAGTTATATATCTGGGCGCACTATTTTACACGTACAGGCTGTAAACACAGTCGCTGTTTTGAGGGCCAGGGCAAGACGGGCACTGATGGAATTAAAGGCTGGCAATTAGTATGGGCTCTGTTGGAATCCTGAATAAAACCGTAACCCTTCGAGCAAAGATGCATTCTAGCGGGCTCAATTGTCCTTTGCTCAAAACCAGCAGACATCATGAATCACAGCCTGCTCTGGGTGCCTGTAAAGTTCCTAAAAATGCCTGCAGCCCTGCCAGATCCTGCACCCTTTGTTAACGTAAAGAGTAAAAAAGGAATTCTGTCTCCGTGTTAGTCCTGTGAGTCCTCCGTTGAGACTGATTTTGACAGAGTTGACTTGAAGTAAATGTTCCCCCCCCCCCGCAGTGTCTAAATGACTTTCTTATTCCTGTATCTTCACTTGCCCGTCCACCAGACACTGTCTGTGCCAACAAGCGATGTTCAAATGGTGCAACATGTATTAACTCAGGCTACGGTCGAGCATTTTGCGAATGCCGATCAGGTTACACTGGAACAAGATGTGAGATTGGTGAGTGTTACAGCACTAACAGCTGACAAATTCTGAAGGGTGATGATGTTTTAAAAGTGTGACATCAATATGGAGAATACACAGTTTGAATTTCAAAAGTGGCTATTCAGAAATAGCTGGGACAATTTTTCTATTCTTTTTGGTTGAAACACATCACGTGGCTGCGTAAGTTACATTTGCGAATGCCCGCTGCAATTTGATGATGCCCGCTGCGTAAAAGATGTGCCGGGACCTTGATACAAGACAGTTTAATCCATTCTGATTGGTCAAGAGTCTGTGTGCGCGCAGTGGTCGGAACTTGCCACGCGCACACCAAGTCCACATAAGGAGATTCTTCTGGACGACTTGCACAAGGAATGTACCATCGAACGGACAGGGGTGTTTGGGAAAATAAAAGTAAAATTCTCGAACAAAATCCTTGGAAATCTATCGTATGTTGATTTCTTTTGTCCCTCCAAATGAAATGGTATTTAAGAATGGAATAAATACCTGTTTGGCCAAGCACATAGTTTTTCCTCTAGTAATACACCAGATGACTTTCAGTGTAGATTATAAATGAAAAACATAAATGCAAGCAAAGATGAATATCGGTTGATATAGTGAAAATTGGAGTTGCTGAAATGTGTGATCATCAATGATGTGTGAGAAAAGATGGAGAATCCGTCGAAAGTTCTTTTAATCACCAAAGTCGATGTCAACATGTCACTCATCAAAGTTACATGCCAGGCAAGCCACTCAAGCATCCTCAAGCAGCTAAACGCAAAAATGGTGGCAGTCTTTTTGGGCTTCAGCAGACTAATAGTTGTGCACCATTTTGTCTTTAGCCTCTGGCTGCGATGCAACGAATCCGTGCATCCACGGGACCTGCAAAGACGACGCTTCTGGAAAAGCCGTCTGTAGTTGTGATAAAGGCTGGACTGGAGACTACTGTAGCATTGGAGGTCAGTCATTAGCTACAGGCTGGTGTTAAATGAATTGCTGATGAGCAAGCCATGATTAATCAAATTGATGTGTGTTTGGCAGAAAGGCATGTGGGACTTTTTTTGCCAGACAAATTTTTGTGCAAACACAGGTAGTTGGCTAAATTGGGTCCTTTGGCCAGGTATCAATCGACATACTTTATGTCAGCATGAAAAATGTTGCAACAATATACTTTATTGCAACAACTCTATATTACAACATTTTAGCTGAGAAAATGAACTTTCTCAGCTAAATTTCACTTTTTACCACGTTATCTTTTCCCATGGCAAAGCCAGGCCATTGACTTTGGTTTGCTCCCCAGTGCCAACTTCATTTTAACAGCCGTGATAAAACAACCTTTGCTTCAAAAGTTATGGAGGTCGAAAAGTGCGCAGATGTAATGTCCCAAATTGTTCGTTCAAGATTGATCCGAGGAATGAAATTGCCAAAGTCTTCTCATTTTGCTCGATCACAACACATGTGGAATTGAAGAATGCGGATTCATGCTGGCCTCAAGTTACTCTGGTTCAAGTCCCAAGCCTCATATTTGAGTTTGTGCCGCAGTGCTCCTTTGCTGGGCTTATGTCCTTGAGCAACACACTTGATTGCAATAGAGCCTCAATACCAACCCTGAGTTCAAGGCAATGCCAATTGTTGCTTCACCCTTTTGACCCTGCTTTGACCAAATTCAGCTTTCAGGGTTTATGTGTTTGAAACATTTTCACTTTTTATATATTTATTTCTCTTCTTTTTCAGATAAGAGTGTCGGTCCTGATGCAAGTAAGTCCTTCAACAAGTGCATTTATTGAAATTATCACCCAAAATGCAGATGAAAATTATTTCTTATTTAAACCTGATGTATGTTTTGTCAATTGTTCCAAAAGTGGGATTTTAATTTAAAGTAAACTTACTCTTAAATTTTGCAGTTCACAACCGCCAAATAGTGTTAAAAGGGAGAAATTACAACTCGCTTATTTTCAAATAAGCAATAAATTTCCCTATATGAGGACAAAGACTGTGCAGAGTTTCTGTCTTCGAAGCCCTGATGAGTTCCAGTAGGCAGGCACTTTCATAATCTTTCCTCATCATAATCAGAAAGTTAAAAAACATGAACCGTCATTCTCTCGTTACTTTTGTTTACACAAAGGAGGAGGCGATCATGCATCCACAGGCCTGATTGTGGGCGGGGCAGTGGCTGGTATTGTTGCCATAGTGATCATTGTCATCTTGCTCTTCCTCATCTACCGCACAGTTCAGAAGAGAAGGTACCCCAGTCAGATCTAATATTGCCTAATTTTTGTCCCGGGAATTTTTTTTGGGGGGGGGGAGTTTGGTCAAATACTGGAGTGTCTACGGACACTACGGACGCTGTGTGGAGTGAATCCCACTGCTCATCACAGACCTGCAGCCTGCGTGTAGTGCTTTGGCTATGTTTTACTGAAACAGCGGATAAATGCACTGTGTGTGTGCTGTGCGTTTTCCTGTGCGTTTTGCATTTAGAGTACCCTTTTTTTCAAAATTCACCCATCAAATGTTGTCTGGTTCTATGAACGCTCACATGAATTTCTAAATGCCGATACTCTGGCTGGCTTCATGCACAACAGGTAAACGCTCTCATGCCCCACTAATGATCACCTTATGTCTTTCACTATAGACCCCGCACAACAGGTGAGCCCCAAACAGGTGCGACTGTCCCAGCCCCAGGCCCCATCTACAGCACCCGTTTCTCAGTTCACAACACCCAGGCCAGCGGCCCAGCTTACAATGCTAACGATGGCAGGGTTACTGGGTTGCCAACAGGGGGCGCCATCGGGGGGCCCATACTGGAGAAAGAGCGGCCAGTCTCTGTGGAGAACCCCTACGAGCTACCCAAGCAGATGCCGAGGACAGACGCAGACTTGGGCTACACCAACCCGGGCTACAACCCCGACCAGCCCCCTGCCTACAGCAGTCGGCCGACCTCAGCCGACCTGAGTGAAAATCCTTATGTCTCCTTGAAGCAGTAAGCACACCATGATCGAAAAGGACAGGCTTGGTATATCCCACATGTCAAACCCCAAGAGGTTAGGCCGGCTGGAGTTATTCAGCGGCATCCTTCTGTTCGGCTAATCAAAAATTGCCATTAAAAATGGAGGTTTCCTTGCACGGATGCAGCAGCGTAGGCTGAAAAATTCTCAAGCTACAATCAAAAAAAAAATTTCACTAGTGCAAATTTTACAAAAGGAGATGAGATTGAGCCAGAAACGGTTATAAAAGTACTAGGTTGCTAGCTAGATATATCAGAGTATTGATATTGATACATGAGGTCATATTTTGTTCTTTAAATTAACATCTGATTAAAATTAATAGGAAAATAATACAGACAAAATAAATTACAAAGATGTCATACTTCAAAAACTTGTGCACTGCAAGTTGCACAATAAAATGCATGCAATGAAAATACTCAAAAATATTATTAGGGTGTCACGATGGCTAAATCTAGAGAGTATCTTATAAAATACATATAGATAGAAATATACCCGTCATTTGGTAAGTGAAAACTGTAAACTGATTAATTATTTGACAAAAAAGTATAATTATGTGTAGGCCCCAAAAAGTTAATTCTTGCTTTCAATGTGGCCGAAATTTTAATGTCAGTGCACAACAGTAGGGATGTAGGATTGCTTAAGGTGTTTTTTATTTTTCTTGTTTTGCACTTAATGCAGGTTTTACATCAGTATAAGTATATACTCAGAGACTTGCAGTTTATTATGTACATATATTTTGAAATGAAGAGTTTTTATGGAGTGAAGTGCCAGTTATTTGCTTTAGAGGTATATGTAAGAAGCATGTTTTTGTTCTATGTTGGTAGCGTGTATGTACCTTTCTAGTCGCTTTTTGCTTTCATGGAATTATTCCTATGTCTCTGCAGTACTTTTTGTCAACTGGGGGTTGGCCAACCGTGGGCAGTATACATGATACAGCAAAAGAACTCGTTGAAAAAAAACCTAACACCCTGTGTGTTCACACCGCGGTGTTGATGCGTATTGCTAACAAACTGTATAATAAAGAAGACACCGCCAAAATTACCAACGTTCTGAAATAAAGAGAGCATTAAAATTAATGTGCCATGTCATTTTTATCCAAACGATCATACGGCTGAAATTTACAGTAATTAACTGCTAGGCACTCCAGTGTTTATCGACAAAAATTATCTGTTAGGTTGTAAATGCGAGGTTTGAGGCTGCTGGTCCGGTCTCCCATCTCCACGTAGTTTCTTTGCGGCGATGAATCGGTCGAGGTGTATTTTTTTGGCCCATCACTCCTAAGCCAGGCTGGAGAATTATAAGCTTTTGAAGTTGTATAGAAAGTGTTAGTGGTTACACGTGATCAATGCAAATTCCACAACTGTCATTAACGGTCATAACTCTCATTAACGGCAACTGCTGACAGAATTGTTTACTTTGAAGTGTGAACTGAGTTTAAAAATTTACATTGGGCGAAGGGGAAAAGTCAAACATTAAACTAGCCAATTCAGCCAGATAGTCACATTTTGTCATGATGAACTCCCTTGGTGAATGTGTATCGCATTGTTGCAGTGCCAATGGACTTGTCGTTCCATTATTTGCCTGATGTAGAAAAAAAGTCACCAACGACTGCTCGGTATGTTTACCTTTGTTGCAATTGTGTGCCCAGTCGTTTACATGTGTTGGCACTAGAAGTGCCGAAAATATCTCGTCTTCATATGGCAAAGTGAAAAGTTCAAAATGTTTTACGGACTGTACCACGTGCATCGATGTGGATTCTGTAGCCACTGCAGTAAAATTGCCGTGGTTTCTTCAAAGTGTCTCCTTACCCGGACAGTCATCCGAAATTGGTCAGTCATTTTCGTCAGATGCAGGATATTCGTCTTCTGTCACCATACTGCCAGGACTGGGAAATAAGTTACCCTTAATACTATCATTTGATTTGTGATAAATTAGATTATGATTATGCTAATTATGCGTTTGACCATACATGCATGTTCACATGATCAAACCTTGTAATCTTCGGCGACAGTATGTTATTTGAAGTGTATCGACTCGTATGGAGCAACTGTTGAGAGTGGCATTCTCTTATGGCTTCGAATGGAAATGTTTCGAGTTTTGGTTGTTTCTAAACTCTTTGAAAATGTGATATTTTTTGTAAGAATAATTTCTTTTTTTGACTGCACATAGTCAAATTAGACATTTGTTCAGAGTTAGTTAACTTTGCTGGCTTTTATGTGGCAGGTTTATATTCGCAATCACTATTTTATAACGTGGCATTTTTATGTAAAAAAGGATTTATTAGGCCTACCAAATAAAAAAGTAAGATGCAAGATTCCTAGAGGTAAATGAGTGAAGCTTCATTACAGAGTCGGGCTCCTCCGGGACCTTAAGTTAGTACTTCGGCAGTGGAACTATAATTAGGCCGAAATCTTGAAAACTTTCTTTGTTGGTGAAAGTCATAAATGAAAACAAAAGGGTTGCCCATAAACAAAAAGACAAAACTCCAATGCCAATTAGTCCAGCCAATAACTTCTTTAGACTATGGGGAATAAGAGATGCTGTAAACCCTCGACAATAGCAAACCATCAACGGTAGTAAAGGGGGCGAATCCAGGGTATTTTTACGATTTCCTTTCCATTTCTTCTTGTTCAGTTTTTCTTTTACATGTTTCCTCGCACAGAAAGCGCATTTGCCCCTTAGGGACGCTCAGCTGGACGATCAGCCGACATAAGAACACTTGACACGCAGAGATGTTTGTGCCAGAAACGTGAAGGCACGGTTGTGGATATAAAACAGTGGCGCAACTACATAGGGTTAAAAGTCATGGGGAGGCTATATTTCCGGGGGGGGGCACAGGGGGAACCCTGTGCTCCCTCCCCCCGTAGTTATGCCACTCATTTGAAACATAAATGCTTATTATTCAACCATACCCAAGGAGAAAAGTCAAACTTTCTAGCCTGAAAACACGTTTTTGAGGTCTTTGTTGACTGTTGCCTCTGATGGTCCAGACTGTCGCCGTTCTCTACTCAAACGGCTGAAACTAAGAAAAAACGATGGAATGCGATTCGTTTCACGAAAGTGGAGGGTGGTTAATGTCAGGTATTCTTCCCCGAAAAAGCTCCCAAGGTGTTTTTTTCCGCAAATTTTTCAACCTTGCAATTTATTTCTGGCGCCCGTAAAATGTGTAGGGAGGCTCAACGCTTGAGTTAAGGCATCAGTATAGTTGCTTTTTAACTGTCCTGGTAAAAATTGTAGCGCGTGTAAAGACGTCAACCGGTTCACATACCAAAGGTCCATAGCGTATATAGGCGTCACCCGTGTTCATGTGTGGTTTGTTTTTTTCGCTTTCTAGCAAATTGGTTTAGGCCTACTCAAACAAAGAAGGTCAACTGCGAACAGGAGAAAGAATTCTTCAATGAGTGTACACGTCCTCTGGTGGAACAAACAAGGAATATTGTGTAGATCTTTACAAGTAACCTAATCTGGCGGCAAGTAGTTACCAATATTGTTCTGGGAAAAGATTAAAATAGTTTGCCAACTGAGTCTTTGCCGTGTTGGGGAGGGCAGGATGATTTGCGCAAGGTTATTTTTTACGCACCTGATTACCTGACTTTGTTGAGAATATTGTACACGTATTATTCAATGCGAAGATTGGGATCACCACTCTAAATTTGGTGGTTTTGTTTTTGAAGTTCGTTTAGAAAAAAAATTGAAATCGTACGCCATACCAAAGGCAAAAAACACGAATCGTACACCATCAAATATGACCGTTATGCGGAATATTAATGCTTCACTACGTTTCTGTTTACGCTTTTTTCACTTTTAACAATCCCAGTCAACTTTTGTTTCCATTCAGTATTCCACTTGCGATGTTCACGGTACCTCTTTGCCACTCGTCCCGAAGATAACCCGAAAAAGCTCAAACTTTTGTTCAGAGGTCGCCAGTTTTGTTCGTACTGTGTAGGTCAGACCTGTATAGAAAATATCGTTATTGTACACTTCTCGGGATTCGGCAGCGGACTCATAAGCCGGTGTCCCCGTTTGCTTGAACCACCGTTGTATAACCAAAATTTCACCACAAATGGTTTGTCCCTTCTTAGGCTTAACTGTTACATAACCGTAAAGCTCAACAAAAGTTTTACCTCCTAGCTGTAGTGAAAACAGTCTACCACGGATGAGCGGTTTGTCCATAAGAGTTTTGAAGTGCTTGCCACGCTATGCTATCAGCAAATGCGCACTGTTACATGCAAACTTTCAGTATACCCGAGGGAAAGCAATCGTAAAACGCGGGGCTATGTTAGTCAGTCGATTTCTTTAAGACTGATAACACCTTTTCGCTCTGAGTTCTCTGCCAGAAGTTCAGTTCGACTGGTCGACGTAACAATCGCATCGATGGTTCAGACAGTTAAATCATCATACTTTACTGCACCGATGGTCAAGAAAACGCGTGAACGCCCAAACGTGGATAGGACGTTCGCCGACTGAGCATGAATACATCGATGATGATGAAAAACCATCTTTCACTTTCAGGTCACTAGAAGGAAGCTTCATAGTTAAAACCCTCGAAGTGTTTTGACAGTAGAGCTAGGGCTTATTATTCGAAGGCCTCTCGTCTTAAGAAGTGTGGAAACGGCTTTATCTTTACATAATTCGGCTAAGGTGGCACTGGACAGCAGCATTCAGTACGCCGGTCCGACATGTTCTTAAAGATTCTACTGGTGTTTGCTGTGTGCGGATATGGGGCGTGGATTCGCAGATGTATAGCATTTGGAGGCTCTGGTAGTGACGCCGCGGAAGATGAACACGGCTCTGGAGGTAAAGTTGTTCGCAATTTTTTTTTTTTTGGGGGGTGGAACTGCGATACAAGTTTATGGCGTCCGTGTCATCTGTCAGCAAATACATCTCCTTAGATGTTTAGGCGTCAATTTCCGATAAAAACACCTACACTAAACATCTCGCAAAGGCTGTCGACTTGTTTCTGTGCACTGTTTGGTTTAACAATAAATTGTTATAAGAAGACAGAGTGTCTAATCCCTGCACACTACATTGAAGCTGATATAAATTATGTTACTTTTCTACATAAGTAATTACTAATTTAGATTAATTAATAATTAATCCTAAATAATTAAGTGATGATAATCCTTTCTTGGACTAACTTGAATTTTTATAGGCGCCACGGAAACTTTTGAAAATTCCCGCGCTCAAAAGCCCAAACACATCTACCAAACAAAACACTCCGTCCATATTCGAATTGAAACTCTCACAATATCAGGCTAAAATTGATTTATCGAAACATGATCGATATTGGATGGAAGATTAGTTTTAAAAGATACTGTATCTGAAAGAGACCATTTTTTTAACCGGGGGTGGGTTTTTTATGTCTTATTTTTTTCTTTTCATTTTTGCTGAGACTATGCAATAGAACAGTCTTTCCAAAATCAGTCGATCGTACTTTTTTGTGTGGCATTATCATCAATGAAAGTGCAGGCTTATCCAGTCACTTGTATTATTTACCATAAACAGATCATTGCTATCTGGACTACATCGAGGTTGTTGAATGTCCCGAGGGTTCATGTATACCACTATCCTGGGTCTGCGATGGTCAAGACGACTGTAACGAAGGCTACGACGAGTCATTTTGTGAAAGTACGAATTAATTACCGTTCCTTTTAGCCTGCTAATTCTGCTGTGTCATGGGGTTTCCGCAGTTATTTTAATATGGCACCACTTTAGTCCCCGAGGATCAATCGGTTCAATGCTTAACAATTTTAAAATGCCACCAATGAATATTTAGTTGAAGGTGCAGTACAAATCAGATAGGCGTGAGTGTGTTACTGTAATTCGGCTTCAAGAAATTGGGAAATCTTGTTGTTGTTTTTGTCGCATTTAGTATATATGGCTGAATTAAACGGGTGGAATGATAAATGCTAAGAACGCAATACTTACACGCTTACCATCATTCTCGGTGGATAAACAAGTATTTCCAGTTTCATTTTGTAAAAAAATCTATAGTGATACTTCCTTGACGCGAATGCGAATCCATTGGTGAAATTGAAAGTGAAAAACGACTCTGTCGGTGCTGATGCTTTCAGTTGGGATCATGTGGCGAAAGACCATGATATCACGCACAGATATACAATGAAATTTGTCTGACCTACCAGTCGACAAAATCGGACAAATTAAATAAGGACTCCGACAACAATTCTCACCGTGGCGTTTATTTCAAAAGTACTCAGAAAATTGATTATCTATCTGTATCGCCCCTAAAATGAAAACACGTATACTGTTATAAAAGGGCTTTTAATTAAACAAACAAACTTAGTCAGGTAACGAGGCAATTATGGAGTAAACGGTGTCCATAACCCTAACCGTTCCAAATCCTCCGATTTCAATATTATTTTACATACACCCTAGGGGTATATAGGGTTAACCCTAACCCCTTAGGGTGCCTATGTAAAAACAAAACTCACCGGCTGTCCGGCATTATTCTGTTCTCTCTAGTTTGTCGATTTTTATCAGCCCAACAGCCTGTTTAAAACAAGCAGGTCTTCGATAATTTTCCCGATAGGCTCATTGGGCTGAAAGCTAACAGCCGCCAGACGCATTTATTTTCTGTGCTCTGTAGGTGATCTTTGTGATGTGAATCCATGCCACAATGGCGGGACGTGCGTCGCCTTAGCCAACGAGACTTTCTGTGTTTGCCCCAGCTTGTTCTACGGTGATTTCTGTGAACATGGTAGGATATCGTCATCATGATGAGGTGGCCGGGCTCAGACCTACTTGAGCCACAACTAGACTTAATTCGAGTAATTTACCAACGGCGCTAAAGCGGCGCGGCTGCTACATTAAAATTCTACAGGCCTAACATACAAGCGTTTTTAGTTTGTGTCATCCTATCTTTGTTCACTGGAGCCCACGTGTAGCGGCTCCGAAACATACTTGGTAAAAGCGTCCTTAATTAATCGCAACTGCATTTAATCAATAATTATCAGTTCAAAAGACTTGGTTTTTAAATGCCTATGCCGAGACACAAATTCAAGATCCGCCTTTGGACGACCTCGACAATGAACGACTGGACATTTTCCATGCGGGTCGCGTGGGAGAACGTCGAGTTGACCAACACCAATGAGAACATTGGCTCTTGAGGACTTGTTTTATGAGATGCCAATTTTAAATGTAGGCTTTGTCAGCTGCGCTGCACACAACTCACGTCACGAGATAGCAATCTGCCCTTGCGTCGACCGCAAGCTCCTATCAGGAACCTTACCGCACCACCAATAGATGGATCCCAAAACGACGCTTTTAGTGTCGATCTGCGCACTTCCGCGTTTGAAAACGAGGCTGTAGTGTCAGCTTCAATTCTTAATACAATCAGACGTTTGAAACTAAGGAGTCAAGACACAAAATACATAAAGGTATGTTAAATTCAGACTTTTCAGGCTGCAAATTTTTATGGAAGAGTCTTTCAGGATGACTCGACTCGTAAAATCAAAAGAAAAAATGACGACAATTGACCGCGAACTAACGTACCAGCGATGGTCGTGTATCTTATGCAGTGGACGTGGTTTAAACTGAAGTGGCGTCACACTTACGAACCGGATACTCCATGTACTGTGTGGACTCCGCGGGCGCGTGCGACAAAGTTCAACACAGAGAGCCTCCGCTTCGATGTGAAATGCTCATGCGCTGATGTGAAATCCCTCTATTAGCCCCTCAACCTACCGAGACCCTCAACAACACACACACCACTCGGACATAGGCACAGTCACACTAGGATAGGTGACTTTAACCCTTGCACAGGATTCTCGACTTTTACCTCAGGATCAGCCCATGATCAGGACGACTAGACCTAGCCTGCGCGCACGTTTTATAGCCTTCGCGCTGCTGTGACCACGCCCGCGCACGCGCTCACGTGACCAAGCAGTGACTTCGGTGGACGAATCGTGTCAGGGAAGTGCACTCCCTATTAGTCACAAAAAGTGGTTGCGCGCAACACAACACCCAATCATAGTTCGGCAAAGGTTGGGAAGCGCGTATCCGTAAGGAAAGATCATGACCTACCGGTACCAGCATTTACAGCTGATTTAGAAATGAAGTTCGCATTGTTGTATCTACAGGCGACGTTAGACCCTTGCTCTATGGTCAGATACACATTCTTCACGCTATACAAAGGTAGGCAAAATGAAATAGCCCAGGGCCTATGCTGTAGTTTGTAAGCATGTGCGAAGCAATTAAATTTGTATTGTTTGCCTGAATGTTGGTTCTTGCATTTAGTCATGGGCTTATATCAGTCACACGGTTTAATTAATACCATGGAGGTAGAATCATATTCTACCTCCATGATACCATTTATGTCGCCACTAACCACATCGCTCCATCCCCACTTATCCCCATTTGAAAATTTGAAGTGCCCGGTATTAAGGTCCATGCCAATTTTGGGTAGATGAGGCGATGTGGAGATGGGGCGAAGTGGGGATGGGCCATAACTTTGCACCGCGCCTTGTGACTAGCGCCCTCTGTCTCGTCACATTTGTATTTAAGCGTGGCTGTTTTTTGGTTAGCATGACAATCAGATAATAGAGTTTGAGCTGGTAATCTTTGTTTATTTGACAAAGTTTTGGCAGCTCTATGAAACTGGCTCTAATGAAACCGAAAATAATGAATGTTTATGAGTGCTATGATAAGCACTTTAACGTGGTGACAGTTGAAATGTTCTAAATTCCTAATTTTTACTACCAAAGTGGGAATGGGGCATGAACCATCAAAAGTGAAATTCTATTCAACAGGTAATGTGGAATAGAAAAAATAATTCAATGATATGTGGTCAACTCTCCACTGATTAGCTGATGCAGGTATTGTTATGAATGTAATGTTACAGTTGCCTGGTACTGGCTAGCCATGCTCGCTTGGAAATTGAGATATTTACACAGCAATTGTAGGCCTAATTGGGCTTGGGTGAGAAGTCATTAAATTGCTGTTTCCTTCCTTTCTGCCGATTATCAAGATGATATCTGTGGAGACAACCCTTGTGAGAATGGTGGCATTTGCTATCCGACACCATGGTTGATAGGTACACCCTACGTGTGCGTCTGTCCCCCATCTTGGATAGGAGACCACTGTGATGAAGAAAGTAAGACCAAGCATTGATGCGAATACTTGACATCCAGGGGTGGGCGTTACCAGGATTTTTCGGGGGGGGGACACAAAGCACTCATTAGCACCAAACTGATGAACCATTAATGATGCCAGGGGCTCAGCAGTTCTAAGGTATTTTCAAGTTAACTGTTGATTTTTCATCCTAGTTTTCGTTCATTTCTCGCGCATTCTTTTATTTCGGTTTTATGCATTTTTTTTCCAGAGAGGGGGGGGGGAAGTGTTTGGTAGGGAATGCTTCCCCCTTGTGATGCCCATGTGTCTTGCCCCAGTTGGTTCGTGGCTTTCTTCATGTACCGCCCCAACAAAAAATCACAAACAAACTTTCTTATGAGTTTCATTGAGTACGGATTTTTATTTTCTTCAGGTGTTAGTTGCAGTAGCGATGTATGTGACAATGGAGGGACTTGCCTGGAAAGTACCTCGTCACCAGGCTCGATTCATTGTGCCTGCCCACTTCCGTTCACTGGCCAGTTTTGTGAATTCGGTATGGACATCTGACTTTCATGGTTGGGAGAGGATGGAACTTTCAATGCCTGTATTCATTTTAATGTTTAGTGAGTCACTTAGGCCATAAAACAAATAAGTCTGCATCCAGATACATGGCATCTGAAAACGGGGTAGGCAGTGGTGTAGTTTTGTGCCGAAAATTGGGGGGGGGTGTGACCTGCCCCGCTGCCCGATCATGAACATTTGAAAAGGGGGGTGTGTGACACCATATGATCGTATATCTAGTAGAGGTTACTGTTCATGCTGATATTGATGTACATCTGTAATTTGTATTTAGAATGGCATATTTATGGCTTTTTAGAATTTTTCCTTTTTTGAGTGATACTGAATGCACCATGCATTGGCTTTTTCAAACAGTGGGGTGTATGTTTCTCCTGAGTAGCGCCCTCTAGAACACTTCAGCAGCATTTGTGTATCACCCCCAGTGAAGCAAACTGCAAGCATTTTGCTGTGCTTTCAAGGGGTCAAGAGTTTATCCCAAAGGACACGGATACTGTGTGGAACCTTGTTGAATCCCAAGAATGTAGGGTTTTTCCACAGGACAGAGCCAGATATAGACAGAGTTGTGACAGGAGATTGTCTTATGACGTAGTGCACCTTACCATTTTTGGTTTTGATTGTTACGAGGTTACACTGCTTGATTAGAAAATGGTTGCTTGATGGTTGGGTGTTAAAGCATTTGGTCTTTAGATGCAAAATGGCTTCTAATCTCAAGTTGTCACAACTGCCCTGTGCTCCTTTTTTTAGGGTTTTTAAATCATTCTAAATGGGGAATTTACCTTACAAAATCCTCTCCTAACTCTCCGTAGTCATGCAAACTGGGTTTTATATTCTTGGTATCAAAACATTTTTGAACATTTGATTGTAGGGAGATAAATTTCTGCAAAAAATCTAAAAATCATAGCAAGTGTGAGTGTTGGATTTCGTAGGTGATCTATACGTTGCACACTGCATGTGTATTAATTGAAAATATATATATAAATGGCTCATTCTCATTCATAACGGGAAAGATTCCACTACAGACACCTGCGCAAGCAACCCATGCATGAATGGTGGAAGTTGCTACACGGCGCCATGGCTGGACACTGCCTACGAATGCATATGCCCATCCCAATGGACTGGCCACAACTGTCAGGAGGGAGGTGAGCCAGCTAACACAAATCTGATCTGTCTGTCACAAGCTTTCTTATATATGGTTCACCGAAAATATTCACAAAAACTGCTGGGAAATTTCTACTTTTTTACAATTTGAAAACTGAAGTACTGTTCATGGAGTTTATTGCATGAAAGTTGGGAGAAATTCTGGAAAAAGAAAGAGAGGTTAACTCATGAAAATTATGGACTCGAGTGTGTCGAGCATGATCGGTTGATGATGCATGCTCTGGTGGTTGTGCTGTGCTTTTGGTCAATCCTGTTGGAAGTGTCTGACTCCACGTGCCCTGTTTGAAATGGTGCTGCACAACCCAGAATTAGAGAGAAGGGGCTGTCCACTAGTGTCAGAAGAATGGACAGATTTGCTGACCAATGCTGCAGTGATCGTGTAATGGCACAGATTGAGTGTACCCAAGAAGTATGTCGTCACAGGAAGAAGTATTATATGAACTGAATTCTCTTTGAGTTAGTGATGGCTGGACTAGTTCGACCAGTCTGACCAATGTCCTACAGGAAGTCTAGGGTGTGAATTGCCATTTATGAGGTCTGGCAACACGAGATGCTTCAATTTTGATTGTGGAATCAACTAATCCACCAAGTATCCACTGAAAAACATTGGTTGGTTGAACCAATCAATGTCTGGTGATACCTTTACAAATCTTGCCCGTTTGCCCAAGCTGGCATGTCCTCAAGCTTTGCCCGTTGGTAATCCGGTAGACTAGCTTTAACATTTGGCGAGCTTGTTCTCAAGTTTGCAGGTGCCTCACCCCTTGCTCTTTAAGCCTTACCCCCTTGGATGTTTATAAAGACATTGAAATTGGAGGATTCAGGACTGTTCGGGCTAGCTAGGGCAGTACTTATATGGGCTTGTCAAGAGTTGTACGCCCCAATGTACAAATGGCAAGGAGTACGACCAACAGATAAGCAAGAGTATACTCTTGATAAGACTAGGAATATTCTCTTGCATCATGTGGTTATTTGAAGATGTTAGAAAGGTCATAGTTAACACATTGCTATCCTTATAAAGTAATGCAACATTTTTCTTCACTCGCCAGCAGCCAGAAAAGCACACGTAAATGCAGCCATTGGGTTTAAGATTCCTGGTCTGAATATGATACTCTGGATATCTGTTCCCTTCCCTCTTACAAAAAAAAGACCCTTGCTGATGATTTTTGCTTGGTTTGGGATCTGTTTCTCACCAGCTTACAGTTGCAGCTACAATCTGTGCCGTCATGGAGGGACATGTTTAGAAAGTAGCTCGTTGCCAGGCTCCATCCACTGTGTCTGTCCGCCTTCGTTCACTGGCCAGTTTTGTGAAATCGGTAGGACATTGTGGCCTTTTGTTTGTCTGCTGGGAAGGGCATGCATGTAGTGCAGCTCATTATTGCTGGTACCTTGACTTTTGAGGAACCAATTCTTGTAACCCAAAGCCCTCTGTCTTTTATCCAAAATCCTTTCCAAATTCTGCAACAGGTGTCTATTACGTATACTAGACACAACAATCAGAAGCCATTCCGGGTCCTGTTCATATGTAGAGACCAGACCAGACTCGGTTTGTCTTCATCCAGCAGAAACCTGCGCAACCGATTCGTGCTGGACTGTGAAAGCCCTTGGAGGAAAAGGCTTACTTACTGACATGTCAACTCACAGTGCCCTTTCCGTTGTAAAAATTGGAAATACTGTTCACAAAATGCCTGAATAAAACTTCTCTGAGTACAAGTTGCTGGTTAATTTTCTAATTCTAGCATGAAACCGTGTCTCAAAGTTTTTCACATTCACATCCGTGACCACAGTTTAGTTTTGTCTGTCTGTGTGAAGACTTTACTGTGTCTATACACCTCACATGTATGCACACCTGTAGTTCACTGTGGTTTGTTCCCCGAAGCTGTTTGCTACTGTTGTGGCCCTGGTTTTTTTTTTTTAGGTGACCTGTGCATCAGCAACATCTGCTTGAATGGAGGGACATGTCACTGGGACCACTCAGTAAACTCGCTGTATTGTCAGTGCCCCGATATGTTCTCCGGCCAGTTCTGCGAAATCGGTACAAAACTTAGAAATCTTAATCTCTACCATCAGGAAGAAGCTCTTGCTGCCACCAAGCACGATAGTTTTAGATGAACAATACTTATATCTGGGCCTAGCTCATGTAGGGAGTGTAACCTTCTGTATTATCTTTACTTTTCTGAGGAAAAGCAGCGATTTCTCCCTGCCAGTGAAGTATCAAGAAAAGCTTAGGAATGGAAAAAAATTTCTTTGGATTGTCTTTGAAAACCGGGCGCAGTGCGAGAATGGTATTTCCAACTTTTACAAAAGTTGGTGTCAAAATGATCTTAAGAAATTACTTTCAGAAAAGATAATCCACAGGGCTCAACAGGTGAAAAATTGCAGTTTGGCAATGTGGAAAAAAGTCAAAGGGGGCGGATTCCGACCCCTAGCTCTCGAAGGGTTAAAGCCTACCCTGTCATGTTGGTTTTATGGGCCCGTATTTTGATAACAATTTCTGTTTTTTGGCAGATCTGAGTTGCAGCAGTTTGTGCCTGAACGGAGGGACATGCTTGACAGACGTCTCGTCTGGCTCTACATTTTGCCTGTGCCCGCTACAATTCTCTGGCCAGTTCTGTGAAATATGTGAGCCAAATATTAGAAATTCAAAAATCAATGGAGACTTAGGTCAAATTTTGCTGTTGGTAGAGCATCTTTGTAATGTAAATATACCTCTGCCAAGATACCCATTCTAGTTAGAATTGACCTTTTCACAAAGTCATTATGGTGATGTTGTAGATTTTGATGTTTTTAAACCAATGAAATAAAATTTCACTATTGTTTACCCACATGTAACGTTTAGTACCTCAATACCTGTGAAAATTCAGTGCATAGATATGTTTTCTGTGAAAATTACACAGTAAAAAGTTCAGTTCTCCTTCTGATTTATGTCTCAAGTTGGAAATCAAATAGGCTCATCTCTTGTGAATTGATTTATAAAAACAATAACATATAATTTCTGTGATCTCTCGATGACTAACATTTAAGATACCTCCACCAATGCCTGTGATGACAATCAGTGTTCAAACGGTGGAACTTGCTACCCGACGCCGACCACGAGCACTCCGTACACCTGCGTATGTCCACTCGGGTGGACCGACAATTTCTGTGAAGAAAGAGGTGGGCATGATGATGTTCCAGGATGTTGGTTGAATATATAGACTATGTAGAGGCTATCATTAGAAGTCACTGGTGTGATAGTCCCATGCCTTGCACAGATTGTACCTAGCTGTCCCTTTAATGCCTCTTTGGTGCATGGATGTGGCTTAACTGTCCTACGTATTCATGAATCTCAGAGTGAGCCACATCTGAAAGTAGTGGCTGTGGCTGGGTATTACGTGTGCACATTGGAAGACAATTTGGTTGGTGGCTACAGCGGTTTCCCATAGACGCACATGGTTTTATACTCCCAGCCACGTCCAATTGTTTCAGACAGGGTTTCAGCCCGCAGTCAACACAATTGCTGCAAACCATGCTCCTTCAATGATCTGAAAACGGCTGCCTCTTCCACAAAACCGTGCTGCCTTTCCAAGACATGTTCTGCTGCAAGAGATTTGTCAACGTCGACGTTTCTGAGTCACTCAATCAATCTTGAAAACCGTTTCTTATGACTGGTAATTGTTTTGGATTTGATTCAGTTTCCACCTGCTTGTTTGTGCCGTGTCTTTACGGAGGAACGTGCGACACTTCCGCCAATGGTGGCTGTACCTGCCTCGATGGTTACACGGGCACATACTGCGAAACTCGTGAGTAGTTGTTGCAATTTTTCTCAGCTGAGGAAAATAAAACAGACCTCATTTCCACTGACAGCGGAACACCAGAGTGGTGTATTTTGGTCTAGATGCGCTGTTCGGAAGCCCATCATGCCCTTCTTATTTATAAAGATAAGCCACTTGCTTGAACACAGCCCAATTTTTCCCGAGAACTGTATCATGTGGCTTGAAGTTGTGTACATGAAAAGAAAAAAAGAATTAAAACGTTGCATCTCTTTCAGGACTGCCTTGCACAATATCCCCATGTGAAAACGGTGGGAGCTGCCTCAACATTGGGGACTTCAGCTTCTGCTCGTGCACCTCAGGATACACTGGCGTATTTTGCGAGGAAGGTCGGTGGCTAATGCATTTTCATACCTGAATAAATGCCTGTCATTTGATTAGTGAATTGAAGATCTCATGACTTGGAATAGTCGGACAGTGCTTGGCACGTGTGCACATCACAGAAGCCATGCAAATAGAATGGTGATTGAGCTACTTTGGGTCAAATGAACGTGGACGCTAACGCTGTGCACAGTCCAGCGCCATAGTGCAGCTCTCAATTACTAGCAGACGATTAACCCAAAGAAACAGGGATCCTTTTAACTGATGAACTTTTTTAACTTGTAGGTGTTATTGATACGATAAGAACAATTGCAAAGCACTCAAGATTTGTTGAAGCATTAACCGATTTGATATGTGAAAACTTTGCGTTATGATCATTCTGGGCCCAGAAACTTAAATAGTGACTTGTACACAAAGAACGTTTGTTCATGTGTTGTATAATTAAAAGCAGTGATGGATGGTTTGTGTTGTACTGAGATGAACATTTGTGTACTGATACTTCAAGCTCCAAAGAGTCCTCAGCCAATCGATGTTATTTTGAGACAGTGTTGTAGCTGAGTCCAGTCACAAGTCAGTGGACGGGCCCTGCAGTAAATTTCCACCCCATGCCTTTTTTGCATGGTCCAGGCCTGTATGTCCGAAACGTCAGACTTTTTATCTGTGTCCAGCATAAATAGCAGCCGTGATTGGCCAGAGCACTTTGGGGGGGCTGGGCTTAACATATGAGTTCATTAGGAGTACATTTCAGAAGTGACTAGTCACTGTCAGGAGTGGTCGCTGACAGAGGAATGGCTTTACCATAGTTTGAGCAACTTTTGTCTTGAATTGAGACCGGATGACTTGAGATGGACTCTTGATGAAAACCTTGATTTGTCGAGTTTCACAAATACATAAGTGACCTTTTGGTTTTTGTTTTTGAACAACTGAGCTAAATCAGTAAACCATAAGCCTAGATCAGTCCACAAGTCCATTTTCTGCCTTAGAAACAACAAATCCTATGTGATGACGGCAGAGGTAAGAGTATATTTACAATTGGTTTTGATATGAAAGGCTTCTCAACATTTCTGTAACCGCAGGAATCTGAAGTTGAAACAAAAATGATGTTTGGGACGAGGTTAACGTTGTAGTCTTGTATATATTTCAGGCATGAAGATGCATTGACCATGTGCATTAATTGACCAGATGCATTGACCAGCTGCATTGACTGTTTCAACATATCTCCCTGCAGAATTGACCTGTGGGGAGTCCGGCTGTGTTAACGATGGCCTCTGTGTTCTGTCTCGGGGCGACGGTGTTGCAAGTTGCATATGTAGACAAGGCTACACAGGAGAGTATTGTGAAACAGGTATGAAGATTAAGTTCAGACAAAAGAGAACAACAAAGACATCAGACCAAATTGGAGCCATGCTGTGAACAGCTCTAGATAGTCGTGGATGCTGTGATTGATGAGGCACCTGCAGGAAAATAAAAGCAGGATCTATATTCAGATAAAACAGTAGTCTTGAATTCAGTGTTATACATTTATGGTAAAAATGGACTTGTTGAATCCAGTGCTTTTGTGTGTGGTGAGTTACTGTACTTTGAAAAAGTTGATTGCAGCATTCAAAATTTTTAATCCAGCATTTTAATACAAGAGTTAATTCAACAATTGAAGTGTTTAATTCAGTTTTTTCCCTTGAAATTGTTGAATTGGCATTTAAAACATTGAATTAACAGTTTGAATTGCACGCATGTAAGTGTTGCATTCCACCCTTCGGTGTTTTAGTGTGCAGTAAAATGAAAATCAAGATGCTCCGACACATCAGCCAGTAAACTTGCGGGAAAGAATTCAGCCGACAACAAAAAAAACCCATCCAATTTCTGACCTCTACTGTGATCGTAACGTAGATCAATCTAGAGCATGCTTCTCTACACACTCAGCGAGGCGGTTCGCCGATGATCCGCACAGAACCTGTCCAAATTGGCATATACGTCTGGCGCTTTGACACAAATGACCTTGCCCTTGTGATGAAACACCAAAGTGGCTCATTACTGTATCTACCCTTCTTTCTTTCATCCAGTCATGGCTTGTGCTGCGGTATCATGCCAAAATGGCGGCACATGTGTCGCATCCGACGATGGGGCTACTGCCTTTTGTGTGTGCGCAGATCAGTTCACCGGACAGTTTTGCCAATCAGGTGATACTAAAAATAAAAGAAATCACTTTATAATTAATAGTAGTCCATGGTTATTTTGGTATCCTCAGCCCATGCCACATTTTGCTGGAATGCTTTATGGCCTATGCAAGAAATGACATGTACAACTTTGGAAACTGCGAGTTAGCATCTGAAGCAGCCATCTAATTAGGCACACTATATACATGTTACTGCTGGAGGCTGCACAGCCAAGTCATTTTGGCAAAGCCTTTTATTAACACGGAATTAACAAGTGATGGAATTGACTAACACATATCAGCGAGCACATGCATCATGGCATCATGTAGGCTATCTATACATTACTGGCCTTGTGTGCTGTCTCCCAGCACAAAGTCCATGTGCACCTGAAAAAACTTTGATAGCAGTGTTAGGCAAAGGCAAAACAAGAAAAGTTTTTGTTTAATGAATTAGTTCATTCATCCATTTGTTTATTTTAAACCCAAACCCTAGTGTATAGAAAGTAAGGTTGGAAATGAATGCAAAGTGAAAGGTTATTTTTCTTGTTTGTGGGCTGTCTCTTTCGAAAATACAAGCACTTAATCCGTGCAGCAGTTCGCCTTGCGGAAACCGCGGCACTTGCAGCGCTGTAACTTCAGACAGTGCTAACACTTATGCCTGCAGCTGCTTTGACGGGTGGACGGGCCCTTCCTGCGAGCTCAGCTCAGAGGGGTCGACGGGATTGGCCACAGGTGAGAGTAATAGAGCAGAAGACTTCCAAAAAGATCCCATGTCTGTGTCTCAGTACCCAACAACAGTCTTGCCGCTTTAACATTTTTTGACACATGTGCCATTTTGTCCGCTTATGAACTTCTCAGCGTCTAGTGTTAGAACTTTAATGCATGATTTTATTGGAAACTTTGTTCATGGTTAATGATTTGATCCTGTACGGATAGCAGTTCTGCTAAAAACGAAAATTGTACTCAAAGATGTTGCTGGAAGCTCAGTAATCACTTTCTTGTGTTCACCTTGCACCGTCTGTTCACATCATGAAAAAAAAAATTGGAAAGGTCTTGACAAATTTGTGGAGTAATTTATAAAAAGACACGAATCATGGCATTTGTGAGACAAAAAAAAGGAGAAAAAATACCAATCAGGAGTTAGAGATATGCTCTATCTAGGGGAGACTTAGTCTGATAGTCCATTTGATGGTAGATGGCAGTATTCAAGTTGAGACTTGTCCTTGACCTCTGGACTTCTTCATTTTTCTATCAATCATGTCATTTTCTCTGAGATATAATAAGCCAAGTAATTAGGCTATCAATTCTTAGTACACGGCTATAGAATAAGATTGCATTTATTTGTGAGTAAACATCCAACTCCAGGAAACTAATTTTATGATGGAACACAACCGACAAGGCCCTCTCCAGATGCTTCCAAAAAGGCCTTCCCAATGTTTTGAAATCACTATTTCCTCACTAGGTTGATTTGCAAATCCAACCTTTTCATAAGAAAACCTTTTGTTTAAATGTCCAGAGGCGAAGTATCAAGAGTGTGTACTCATTCCTATTGGGCTTGACTCAGTTCTGGTGTTAAGTTTTGTAAGAATCTAAACAAGGTCTCAGATAAGGTCTTAAGTAATTATATGTCACTGAGGCAAAGGAGTTCTCCAATCAGGGGTTGGTTCAGTGGGGTTCATAGGTCACGTGGAGTGCCTGTTGTTTTCCCCCTCTTTGTAGGTGTGGCTATCGGTGCAGCAGCGGGTGGATTGGTGGTGGTCCTGATCATTGTTGCCATCGTGGTGGCTGTTTGCTGTTGCATGGTTAGAAAAAACCACAGGTATGCAAACCTAGGACAAGTCCTCAGTTATCAGTATTCTGGTTTCGTACTTGTTGAGTTGTTGAATAGAGATGAATACCAAAATCTCAGTGTGAGCCTAAACTTACATGTAAATAAACTGTCTGCTCCGTGCAGGAGCAAGAGATAGCATATTTTAGCTTACAACAACTTCCTTTGGAGAGCAAACTCTTCATGTGTGCACAGATTTATGCATACTCTTGGAATAATTACCACAAGTTCTTGAAAGTCAAGGAGCCAGACTTATCCCTAGAGTATCTCTCACAAGTGAAATCTTCCTTTCTTTGTACAGTGTCATTTTATATCTACAGTTGCAATAGATCAATATGTTGCTGACTATTTGTGTAAGTTGTGTTTTCTTCAATTGTCATGCAGCCCTCCTCCACAACTCAGTGCTGGACCAGCAGCCACGGTCAGCAATCCCCGGTACTCCTCTGAGCTCAAGCCACCCAAGTACGGGGACAAGAGCAGCGTACCGCCCCCACCCTATGAGTACATGGACCCTATCTCTGCCCCTGGCGTGCAGGTGCCCCCTCGTCCCACCAGCCCGACCTCCTCGGGGTACCAGATGCCCATGCAACCCCTATCCACATCGCAGAAGAAACCTGCTATGTCCTTGCGGACACCTGAGGAGGAGTATGCGTATGCGAACAACGTTTACGAGGAACTGGACGCCGAGTCCCAGATGTACGTGGAACCTAATTCCCATGATGTCAACAAGAATAGCTCGAAAGGTGACCAGGCCTACATGGACCTGACTGAGTAGTTTCAAACTTGTTTCCCTTTCCACAGATAGTGCAGTGGTTTCTTTCCAAATTGCAGCTTTATTTCTCTCTCCAGTTTCACCTGATTTTTTTTTCTCCTGCCACCCTCCTCCCCCCCCAAAAAAGTAATTAAGCCCAGTGTGACAAACTGACAAACCATTTTAACCACTTGCTGCCCGTTTCATTGGAAGTTGTATGACGAATTCCTGGGGGATTTTCAAGATTTTCTGTTTTCAAAATTCTTCAAAATTTCATAACTTCATTTTGCTGGACGTTTACATCCACACAAATGACTGTGTGGTGGCTACTCTAATCTGACAGACAACACCTATTGACGCCTGAGTATTTCAGCCAGACCTGCCACCTTGTAAAGAGAGCCCAGATTGTGCGGTGTTACGTAATTTTCTTTTGTTCCCAAAACTGGCCCAGTGCGCTGCTGCTGTCTTTTCAGATGAGGCCCGATGAGCGTGCAGTGGGTTTATGCATGCAGTAGTGTAGGTTACCAGGAAAAAAAATCATTTCTGAACATGTCACTTTCACGGCTCCAGCATCATGTGATCAAGCAAAATTAATGTTTGGTTAGAAATTTTGTTTCAAGATCTTGAAGTAAAGTTGTCCAACATTGCATTTTTCCATGTTTCAACTTGCATTGCTTTTGAGCCAAAGGTTGTAACAACTCACAAATGTCACAGCCATAAAGTTGACATTGTGTCTGACAAAAGATTGATTACATCATAGGAAAAGGTGTTCTGCAATTTTTTTTAAATATTTATCTTGAGGTTATTGTTTATGTCTAATATGTAAATTTTAACACAGTTGAGATTTACTATTGTACGTTGACAAAACTAAAATCTAGGTTCAGGAAAAAGTTATCAGTGTGGACACCCAAATCCTAAATGTTCTTTTATGATAACCGTGGGTGATTCAAAAATCAAATACCATTAATGTCCGTCTTTTAGTTATATTTGTTGACAACTTCCTCATTTTAAGACTTAATACAGTTGAACCTTGTTAATAAGAGCTCTGCTTATACAAGATTCTGGTTAAAACATGGAAAATTTTAGGTCACAGTCCTTTATTTGGCATTGTTTTCATTCCTGATAATAGTAGGTTCCTGTTGTTACAAGGTAATTTGCCAAGCCCGAAGGACCTCTTATTAATAACGAGGTTCAACTGCAGTATTTCCGTATGTTGTGCAATAATCCTGCATTCTCTCTGATTTTTAGGTAGAAGATCCTTCTAATTATGGGGAATACTCTTTGAAATAAGATTTGTAAAGCAGAAAGATTCATATGTTAAGATGAATTTTTTTATATTTTATAATATAGTCTTGTAGAGTTTCTTGAAAGACTAGGGTTGTCTCAGGAGTAATTGAAATCGAATATAGGTTCTTAATTGTTATTTTAATCTTGTGTGCACTGGCCTTGTTTTGTACCGATGGATTTTATTGAAACTTGAAAACATCCATATTCGTAAGTTTGTCAAATCTAGTCGATGAAAGCATATTGTAATTTCAAGCAGTTTTTCACAAAATCACTCAATATATATATATCGCCCGGCAATTTTCATGGGGGAACCCTTTTTTCCCAGGGGATGTGTCAAAAGCAATCCTCAGGAGAAACTTATAAACCAAAACAAAGGCTGGTCAATTCTGAGGTATTTGTAAGCGAATTGGTGATTTTTTTTTCATCTGCTTATTTCCCCCTTTTTTTCATTTCTCCCTTTTTATCCCCCTTTTTTCTGGGGGAGGGGAGAGTGTATCCCCCTCTATATTGTTATTAGTATTCTGTGACATAAAAAATGGATAAATGTATTGCTTTACAGTCTTAAAAGGTTTTTATATAATCATTTATGTATTTTGGTACAGTATATGGAGTACATATGTTGGAATATTTATGAACAAACTTTTCCTCTAAAGGCTTGTTCAGAATATGATTACATTATATGACTAGGCCATAAGCGTTATCTCGATCCTTAGGACGACAACACTCGTCAGTTGAATGAGCAGTTGTACGGTTGTCATTTTTCAAGAAAATAATATATGTAGTACGAACAGTGTAGTTTTCAAAATTCCCTCTGTTGTGAATTCATGCTTACTCTGTAAAGCTAAAGATACTAGCGGGCGCATTACTCTGAAAATTTCATGTACAACTTAATGCACTTTCATGCATAAGTCACTACCAAAGATGAGTAATTCGGCCGTAAAGGTGTTATCACCTTGGGCGCCATTCGAGTGTGAACGTTAATGTACGTGTGTGCGTGCCTGTTGCGGCGCCTGCGCATTAACAGGCACTGCGCAGGCGTGGTCCAACCAGAATAGCGTCCATGTGATAACAACGTTTCACGCGTATTCATGGTGCAGTTCCCCATCTTGCGCCGCCGCTACGCGATACGCGGCGCTATACGATCTTTGGACACTACACGAGCGTTTTGAAGCAATCGAGTGAATCTTGGTGGATCATGGAAATGCTCAGCGAGTCATTGCTTCACTGCTGTTTTCAACACGTGCCATTGATGATGTCGCGGACGAGTGTGTTGATCCAATATCCCTAGGTCGGATGTCATTTCTGTGTAGGCCAAATGAAATTTCGAAATCCCAACTTGAAACCTCTTGAGAAAAACTCAAAATTTCATTTGGTTACATAAGTATTAGTACCACAACATTAATACAGGCTGTTGAACCTCTGTGAAAAATTTCAGTGTCAGTCTCCAAAATTTGAAAAAGGACCGCGTGCTGAAAACGGGTATTTGGCGCACCTGACAAAATCTCAAAAAATCCCACTTTAATATTTTAAGAAAGTTGATTAAGTCTGTGACGCGACAGGGCGCGCAAGTCACTAGCCGCAGTACGAAAACAGTCATTTATTTATGCCTGTGGCCGGTACGAAATTATAGATGGCGCTCTGCCCAGTAACGTAAACAGAGGCAGACGTTATATAGGCGCGCATAGCTAGCTGTGTGTTAAGCGAGCGCGGCGCATAGGCTCCGCCTTGAGCGTTGTGCGATAGGGCAGAAGTCACTGCTTAGTCACGTGAGCGCGTGCGCGGGCGTGGTCACAGCGGCGCGAAGACTATAAAATGCGCGCGCATGCGCGGCAAGATTAGTCCGACGTTTTGATGATGAAAGATCGTATAGCGCCGAAGGCGTAAGATGGATAACTCTGCCCACAAGATACGCCTGCGCAGTTTACGTTAATGCTACGGCGCAGGCTCACCAGGCCAGGTGCACGTGCCTGCCGCGGCGCCTGCGCCTATGCAGTAATGTGAATTGCGCAGGCGTATCGCTTGCTCAAATGGCGCTTATGCAATTACAACAATTTCCGTACGATCTTGGTCCTGATTAAGGGCTGATCCTGAGGTAAGGGTCGAGAATCCTGTGCAAGGGTTAAAGTCACCTAGTCTAGCGTGACTATGCCTAAGTACTTCCGAGTGGTGCGTGTGTCGTTGAGGGGCTCAGTAGGTTGAGGGGCTAATTGGTGGTGCGGTATTGCGGTCGATGTGTAACGGCGGATCGCTACCTCGTGACCTGAGTTGCGTGTAGTGCAGCCCTGACAATAAGCCCCGTATAATCGCTTAAGTCCCTGATTCGGCACTGGATGCCCACAGTTAATTATGGAATTCCGTATCTGCCGTCGTCCGTCGCCATTTGCTTTTTGTCGTGTTTCAATTCTGCCATTTTTTGCTGCTCTGGGCGAAGTCCGGTCACAATAATCACAGTCTCCCGTCAATAGCGCCCTCTGCTGGTATATTTTTTGAGTGTTGATGAATAAACCAGCCGCTTATTAATTGTTGTACACTGCATATAAGTCATGTCTGTCTAGGCGAAGTTTATTTCAAGTCAGGTCTGTCCGGGTTACGTCATTAAGTTTCTACCAATCAGATTAGCCATCATCTCGACGAAGACCAACTTTCTTGGGGGACGGTATAATTCGGTCCCAACGGACTCGGAGGGGTGCAGTGTCACAATCTGATATAAGCCAATTATCACTACCTCCTCACCTAACCACAATTTTTAACAAATCGGTTTGTGTTTTGGGGTTCATGAAGAGTTCATTTTCCACTCTTGAACAAAATCGGAAAATCGTCAAAAATAAAATTTCCTTTGAACTTTACAGAGCTGATGTAAAAAAGGAAAAGCAAGCTTGTTTAGCGTCCCCACCATCTTTCTTTTTTAGGGCCGCATGGATTTATTTTATATTTATCACAAAAAGCGAAAATACCTCCCATAATACTAGTCAATAATAGCCACGAAAAAAATCTGGGAGTTGGTTATACATGTATGTATAAATTAAAAAAAAGTTATTAAATCAATTTGCCGTCGCTTCATTGTGTATGATTAGGGTGTCATCGTAGGATTCACGCGCTTGAGTCGTGAATGATATTAACTAGTAGGCCAGAAGCAATTTACTGCTTTATTGGCTTTGTAGCAAATCAAATCGCGCTCAGAGTAGACATGTCCCTTGACGATCTTACGCGTGATTAAATGAGCAAGTGCCAGGGGCGCACTTTTTGATTCTTCATGAAGGATCACCACCTGCATATTATGATGCAGTAGTTTACATAGGCCAGCTGATTGAGTTTAACCACATTAACGGTGCCGCTGATCAGTCTGGTTAGTTTTAGACTGGACGTACTGGAGCAAGGATCTTCATGAATAAATGCAAAAAATTCTACGGAAAAGTGTCAAAAATAGTTGTAGCGTCAATGACTATTCGTATGTGTGTGGAAACGAAGTTAGTGAATAGTTCAATAGGCCCTACCATCGGGCGGACTGTTGGCCAGGCAGTCGTGCTATCGCTATGCTTTCCGTGACCGTGGGATTCCTCGGTGTGTTCGCCGGTGTGCTGTGTCCTTTGCTCGGCGTGTCACCCGTCAGCAGTTCGCTTGTTGTGGATGGCGGCTTCGCGGACAAACAGAGTCAAGGGTCTATCAACGTAAACTTTGAGCAATATTCAGTTGCTCAGAACACCACTTTTACTCATCTGGGATTGCAAAAGGTAAATTATATGCCCTAAATAAAAATAGTGAATGTTCTCTTCTTGCCCCATGAATAGGAAAAGTGAAGCCCACCTGTAACTTAATTCAGGACCTCTGATTGACGAGAAGAAGGTCCTAGAGAAGAATTCCATGTTTTAGACATTACGATTTTTTTCCTGTAGTGGTATAGGCCTGTATAAGCAATCAGAATAGACTAAAATTTAATTACAATGAATACACAAAAGGTTTTACTCTCTAGCCTATCCAGAGGAAGAAAGAAATGTCCTCTATACATGTGTAAACGTGACATCGAGGCCTACATCGTGTAGTTCAAGCAACTAGGACTTTAGACCATGGATGAGCCTGTTTGTTTCACACGAATCCAAATCGTGATCAATGATCTGTCATTGGTTCACTGGCACCAGAACCCGCCTAATGGATAGCGGAAACTAGCCCTGGGATCTTTGATTGCTATCCAGATCTGTGAGAGACAAACACGCTCTTTGTTTCACACGGATCAGGATCATGATCGGTGATCACCTAATGGATGGTGTGAACCAGTGAACCAGCACAAGGATCACTGATTGAAATCCAGACACATGTGAACATGCTGCTCATTTCTTTTGATATGTACATTTTAGTAGTGAACCATTCACCATCACTGGAATCTTCAGTTGTTTTCCCTGAACTATAAGGCTCTACTTACTGTTCAGGGAGTGTTGCAATGGGGGCATTAGACAGTTTCAGGACTGTTTTTTTTGGGGGGGTTGAAGTTTGGGAATTTTGATTTTGGTTTGAGCTCCAATGTACATGTATTTTGAGTGGAATCGGTTAATGATACACAATGCCTATGGAAGATTTTAGGTCTCTGCTATCGCCGACTATGTCCAAATATTAAAAGAGGCAATTCATAGAGTCTTAGTATGAAACATTGCTTAGAAAATGCTTAGAATATTTCAGACCAGTTGCATACAGTTTGTTCACAGGGTGCCAAGTGATGACTGTAACTACATACATGTACATGTAGGAAAGATAAAAAAAGAAATTTTCAAGGTTTTCAGTGGAACTGTTTCAATTGAAAAATAACTCATGAATAATTTAACAATAAAATGAACATTTAATTTTTCTAGATTCAGTTTTGGGGTTGCTCTTCATTGCTTACATCATGTGAGATCACTCTCCACCCTGCAATGGTGTACTTTTGGTGTAGTTCTGGTGTAGTTCTGGTGTAGGCTTCTGGTGTACACCAGAGGTACATGTACATGTACATATGTACACCAGCCTCTGCAGTGGTATACTTCTGGTGTACCCTTGCCTGGATTAAAGCACACTCTGGTGTACTTGTGATGCGTTCCAATTTCCAAACATTTAAATTAGCACCAGAGATGCACCACTGGTTTATTTCTGGTGTAGTGTAGCATGGTGTACTTCTTGTGTAAACCACAAATGCACCAGGAACTGGTGCACTTGTGGTGCATTCCAAAACTTTAAATTGGCACCAGAGACACACCACTGGTGTATTTCTGGTATACACCAGAGAGGTACATGTATCAGAACTGCACCAGAGGATGTGGTGTACACCACAATTACTGTAGGTGAGGGTAGTCAAAAATAATTTTGAATTTAGTGCCCAATACTGGAGGAAGGAAGACAGTTTTTTTCAACATGTTTGATTACTTCCTCTGTGCTTACTTGTGCAAGTTTGACTGGGTTCAATTTGGCACTCATATGACATCTCGCGCTTACTCGGGCCTAGCCAAATAACCCACTTGCTTAATCAGCTGGCAAAGTATCCTGGCTCATAGTCCAATGCAAAAACGTGGCTGCTTAGCCAAACATTGTGAAGGAAAGTTGACACCATCTTAAGCGATTCAGAAGAAAACTTACATGTAGTAGCAATCTGGCTTGGATCAAAAAGGCAACAAATGTGTTTGGAATGTTTCTCTTTTCAATTTAATTTTGTAAATTTAAGCAGTGTACGTGTCCCTTCTTGACTTTGTTGGGGCACTTCAAGTAACCTGAAATTATTCATTACCAGTAACTGGACATGCCCATCAGTGGGAAAACTTTCAGAATTGGTGGTTTGTGTGTTCGTTATTTGCAGTGCATAGATTACCACTCACTGAATGCGTCAGAGCAGTGTTCTTTCATCAGAGCTACCAATGACTGCAGGATTGATGATGGATTCATCAACTACTTGGAGGTGGCATACTGTGTCTTCCCAGTGCAGCTGATACCTCTCACTCTCATCCTTTTGGTAATTATGATATCTATGATTGGGTCAAATCGCTTTTTTTTTTCATTCATGGAAAATTGTAACCTCTACCCTTCTTTGTAGTTTAACATTCTTTTAAAAAACTGCTTTGAAAGTATTGCACAAGTTCAACAAAGTACATCTATATGAAAATGGTTGAATGCACTTCAAATGGTGGCATCATGCATCTGGCCATCATTTGTGGAAAATGGACAAACCACTTACATACATGCTCGCCTCCACAATAAGTTTCCTGAGTTGTTTTATGAGACCGGTTAAAATGCATGGATCACAGGGGGCCTTGTGTGTTTCAGGCAAGCGCGCATCAATCTTTAGAGACTAGTGAATGATTTGGTGTGATTGTAGTCCATACATGATACCTGATTAACTTTGAAAAAATGTGCTACATGTACTTTCAGAACTCCACTATCATATGAGATAGCCCCATGATATGTGTAGGTACCGAATCTGTTGAAGAAAACGATAGGAGTATTGCTCAGGGACACAGCTGCCACTGCCTGGGCCCAAGTTCTGTTGATTTGGCAAACTGCAGTGAAACTGTTACTATCACACCTCTCTGTGCTTACAGTCCTCGGACAGATATATCTCACATTAACCACCCAAAGCACCTAATCCTCATGGCATGTGTACAAAATGTATGCATGTGCAATGGTCATAATTCTTGGCTGGCCTGTGAAATGCTGTTGTTGTTTGTGCAGCATAAACTGCTTCAAAAGACAGAAAAATTCTTCAATTGTGGTAAGGGCTACCCAGAGCCATGCTACTTGGCCCTGGATGTGAGCTATGGTTTGGAATGCACTGTAACCACACACAAGTCATAGTAGCCTTTTCACTTCCTGCCCTCAGTTTATCTGGCTGATTTTCCTGTTTGTTGCCCTGGGAGTCACTGCGGAAGATTTGTGAGTATCCCTTGGTAGTCGGCCCTCGTAATTTAAAGGTCCCGATACACTTGAAATAATATCCTCTACATGTAGAGTCATGTTCATGGAGCTGTGTTACACAGATCTTTACTTAAAGTCAGGTTATCCATCTTGCATTTTCGGCGCTATACGATCTTTGATCAGCACTAGCTTCAGATTTTGAAAACAAAATAGCTGTCTATTATGTGTACAGTAGAACGTGCAGTTGTTGTATACCAAAAATACTAGCAGAAATTACAATTTTTGAGCCAGCAAAACTACTTGACCTGAAGTTTTGCCTGTCTTCAAGATGGATGGATGGGGGTTGTTGTAGATGACACAATGCTGGTGCTACAATGTACATACATTCCTTATCTTGCCAAATCAAACAACTCCATCTACCCTCATGTACATGTACATGTAACAGATCTGATGTAATCTTAGAGGGTAGGGGATGTTTTTCCTTATCTTGCCAAATCAAAAAACCTCCTTCATACATGTACAGGTAGCAGATTTGAAACAATCTTGGAGGCTAGGGTATTTACATGTAGCAACATTCTGTGCTTGGAACTGTGAAACTGCAGTCCCGATACATGTATACAGTGCACTGGTACATGGACATGTGTATGCATGTTATGCACTGGTACATGGACATGGACATGTACATATACCATACTGGTACTCTGAATGCACATGCACATGTTGTATGGTATGTACATGTACGTACATGTAGTACAGTACATAATACATGTACATGACTGACCTTGGTCAGGATGTTAGATTCCTTTTGGTATTATGATGAGGGCTGACTAGAGGCTCAGCCTGTAAATGATCACATGACCTTGTGAAAGGGCTCATCTTTTATATTCCTGAGTTTGACCAAACAAGTGCATGGTACTCGGTACATGTACAAAGCCCAAGGAGATTGATGCTTTATATAAGTTTGAAAGTGCTATATGCATGGATTTAAATAACAAAGCTCCTAATGTTAAAGGTGATGGCCACAAAGGCAGGGGTCTGAATAACTTGATACGTGCATGTGATGGCAAAGTTCTGCAGAAAATGATTCATTCTCATATGGTACTTCTTTATTGTGACTTGTGTCTGAGAAATGGGCTCAGAAGTGTGAAAGTTGGAGTTAAACAAATGTCAAACAGGCAATAGGAGGTTTTCAGTAAATACCGTGGAAGTGAATCTCTTTTGTGAATCATGTGGTTCTGAGAAAGACTGGTTGTTTGTACTCGACCTTTCAAGTGGTGTTACAGTCTGTTATCAGGAAAACAGAGCACTTTGTTGGGAACAGTAAAAACATATCTACCGGTAGTTCTTCTCAGAACCACACAACTCAGAAAGGCTGTATCAGCCTCTGTGGTGCAACGGCATACAGCACCTTCCATAATTTGTTCATGTCCACCTTGCGAACCTACAACTCTCACCAAAAGTTGGAGATGATTGTTTAAAAAGGATCTCAGAGAAGCTTTTGTTCTTATATAAGTTGAAGGGGGTGTGGGAGCAGTGGCATGGCTAAGGGAGGGGGAAGCACACCACCCTCCACGAAAAATAGTCACTCGCCCACTTGATGTGATCACGATTACATGTATGTACATGTCCACCATCCAGTCAGCCCTGACCCCACTCTAGCGTGAAGTCCCTGTTCAATTCTTCCAGATAAAAACATGAAATTTTCATTGTGACTAGTGTTTTTTCCAGCATTTTTAAGGATTTTTGTGCCGGTCGGTGGGCTGTTTCATCAAGCTTAGTACCGGATGGCAGAATGTTATGGTGGAGATCCCTGACCAGCACCGACTGGCATAGCTACATGTACTACACTGCTTAGCAGCACCCTGAAGTAGACCGATTGCGTAGGTCTGCTATGTCACGTGACCTACAGTGGCTATCAAATTTCAGCAGACATGGCATCTTCCCATAATAAAGTGTCCTAAGTGTCGTTACCTTCCTCCCCCCAAAAAGCAACAGTCAGTTCGGTACTCATGCCACTGATGTGCCAAGTGCTATCCTGAAAACCAGCTTTGTTTTTGGCAAACAATACTTACAACACACTCTGCTGTGTGGGACACCATGTTTTTTGATGTCTGATACCCACTGTACGTTGAAGTCATGTGACTTTCACAATCAGTCTATTGGACCCTGCACCTGGTCATCTACATGTACATGTACCGGTACCTTACATGTATATTTACATACTAAGATTCTTTAAATGAAATCCCATCGGCATGAAAGTCTGTTTCCAGTCCCTTCATTGAATCTATTAATCAACACTTGGACACAGTCTGGTTGTCCTCATGGTGAACTGGCTTTAACTGAGGTCATTATGTAACCTAATGTATTATATCCATATGGTCACACTCAGGAGCTCTCATGAGCGTGCAGAATTTGAGCAAATGAAGAATTACAATTGGAATGCATATACTGTACATGTATCGGTTAGTAAGCTATAGGGCTTCCCGTATCCCTGAAAAAAAGAATATTCCAGCTGTTGAACTTTTTGCAAAGTTTAGCTTTACCTGTAATCTCAGTCAAATGAGTCAGATGACAGGGCTAGCCTTGCACGTGAGTCATGTGAGTCAACTCAAGAGCCACTTGAACAAATTTGACAGCATTATTGTGTTCATTTGTGAATGCCACAGTAGGGTACTGTAAATATAGGGTTGCATCATGCATTGCCAGACAAATTAGCCAGAGGTATGCCTTTCCAAGAGTGTTACCATGATTCTTTGGGGGGAGGGTTTTCAGTGTCATTTATCAATGTCACTGATGTCAAGTTCCGGGGTGCTGCATAGTGTGTAGTGCCGTGTACAAAATGTATGAATGATATTCAGGCGAGTACTGCCACTGACAAAATTGATTGGAGAATCTGACCCCCTTCAACTTTTTCTCCAATATCGTTGCAGTTCCTTTTTGTTTGTATGAGCCTTACGTACTTTTCAACTATCATCTTGTCAATTTGACACTAGTTTGATGAAACCCTGACATGCTGTTCCCGTTCCATGTTCAAGTTTCCAAGTCCTCAGGGTTAGCCAAGATTCTGTCCTTTTGCCATTATCCAAGTGCTCAATGCACACAAGCCAACATGATCATTAATTTCAAATAACGATGACATCAAGAGGCTGTGTCATATTGAAATGAATCTTCATACATGTATTTTTACTGAGAATTAAAGTTTTTGCATTCATGCTAAATTTCAAGTCTGGCATGTGACAGCAGAGTTCTTGAGGGGCAGAATTCAACCTCTATCAACTGCCAAATGGTCTGAAATAACCCTGCACTTTGAGGGTCAAGGCGAAGGATGCCACAAATTTCTCAGACTGCACATTCATACACATGTATGCCATTGGCTAAATACAAGCATAACAAGCATGAAAGCAATGCTAAACAGGAACTTTGGATGCCAAAATCATGCAGTGATAAATATTCCAAAAACTAAATCCTCATGTACATGTAAATGTGCATGATCATGCACAGAAAGCAGTCTACTTTAACCTTGAATGAGCTGAAGTGCGACCCCAATCGGCGAAAAGAAAGACAGGTGGTTACAAGTGGGTTCTTGCATGCGTCCTGTGTGTACACAAAGCCAATACAAGCTGGAGTAAATCAGTTACGCGTACTCAAACGCGCATACTCATCCTGCTCATGGTGCGCCTATGCTGTGAGTACCAAAAAAAGTGCCCTCTTTTATTCCGCTCGGAGTGCATTGGTTTTACTGTCGTCTGAACTTTTTCCACTGAAATTTCTTTACATGGACACGATAGTACATATGTATAAATCCATTTAGAACAGTCAGTGAGCTGTTTGTTTACCTCCACACCGGGTCCCCAGTTAGTTTCTTTCAATTTCAGAAATGGAACGTTAATTGTAAATTTTATAAGGGAAACTCAAAGCCTAGTTACGTGTACATGTTTTTGAATAATTCTATACTACAGACTTCAAGCCCACAGAACAGTTTTGAATAAAGTTTTTCATACGCATTGCTGATGTGAAACTGTTCCTCATACCGATATTTCAACTTGGCAAGGTCCACCAATCATGTCACGTGCTTCCTGTTGACTTGTTACCCTATTTTCAGGGCTGTTGGTGAGACAGATTTCTACGAGGAACATTTTCGGAAAGTGTGAAATTAGAAATGAAAGAACACAGTGTCTGTTGTTTAGAAGTGGTGCAACAAGGTTCAGTGGACTAACATATTTACAGTATGTATTTATGCACGTAACTTGCTGTTTTATTTTTTTAACCAGTTTACACTTAGCTGCAGACTAAATTGGCTTAGAAAAGGAAAAAAAATCCTGCCTACATGTAGCTACCCGGTCTCCAGATGCCATGTTATAGGAAGCGGAACTAACTTTTTGGACAAAATTAGGAAAAAAGTGGGACATCCCACTCCAAAAATTTCCTGTGCCATCAAATAATGTTGCACTGCATGCAGAGCTTGTGTTTTGTGGCTATTTTAAATGTTTGCTCACTGCATTACACAGTTAGAACTGTCACAGGTTTGATGACGAACAGATATGCATTAATAAGGCTCTCCCAGAACTGTGTATGGTACATGTACCTTACCTGATCAGTCAAGCTGTACAGCGTACATGTAGTTGCTGTTACTAAACTTTTTAATGGATTAAAGAAGATGTTTGTTTACATTTCCTTGTTTTGAATCTTTGTCTGAGGTATATATCCTCTTGTGAAGCAAAACTGCTTGTGAGTTCTATATTTGGTCATGAGCCAGGAACTGAGGAAAGGGAACACGAAAGAAATATAACCTGGAGTTTTGGTTTGGAAAAAAAAGCTTTTTCATTAACTTAGTGCAAATTCTGTGCAAAATTGTTGAAAAGTGCTTTCCAGTGAAGATACTCTAAACTATAATGTGATTGGGCAGCCAACAAATGACCTCATCAGCCCACGGAGCACAGCTAGAGATCGCAAGTTTTGATTTTCACAGAAGGAAGAATCCGCATCACTTGGGGAAAGTACCAGAAAATCCTGACGGGAAATACTAGAAAAAGAATGTCACAGGGAAGTGGAAACGATTGATTTCAATTTCCCTCAGTGTTAGTGTTTCTGTATGGACTGGTACATGTACATGATTAATTGAATTTGGGAATTTTGTGTTGGATATCCCTATTCTCTAAAGAGCAAACTCATTTTCCATCAGAGAGACATATCCTATTTAAATGTGCGTGTATTCCAAACTTAGTGAAACAGGGTACTTCCTCTCTCTGTGAAATTTAATTGTTCCTAAACTTCCCCATTGGTAAGATTCACAGAGTAACTTGAATGTAACTTTATTAAGGAATTTGATGTGTGTGAACTGTAAGTTCAGAATTAAAGTTACTGTAATCACTAAGCCACTTCTTTGGAATCGCTCATTTGAACTTGCATAAAATTTCTTCCAAGGTTTCCAAGTGGGGAGGACAGAGCAGTAACCGGAATGTACATGTAACTCAGAAGTCTTAAACCAGTTAAAAAATCCTGCTAGAGGCTAACGTGAACACATGCCTCATTAGAAGCCAGTGGGTAGTGGCTATTGGTGCACAGCCATTTTCTATAGTCCCGAATGCACAGTGTAACTGTTAAGGCACAGCCGGTAATGTCGGATGGAGCCCTTCGTTGTACCCAAAGCACCATACATTGTCATTTTCCTTTTTCCCCCCAATTTAAAAAATAGTTATGTGCATTATTTGTGGTTATTGTTTCCCTGCAGTTTCTGCCCATCCCTGACAGCCATCTCCAAGTCACTTAAGCTCAACCAGAGTGTAGCAATATCCTTTTTGGCCATTCAACTTACAGTGTACAAGTTGTAACTATTACTTTTTGTAATATGGGCAATTCACAATACATTGCGCCACCAAGAGGTTGCAACAGAGAGGCCATTCTTAAAGGCCTTGCCATGTTTTGCATTTAATTGCATATCGAGGAGACAACGTGGGGAAATTCTTAATAGATTTGGACATTCAGTGCAATGGAAAGAAGAACGGATTAATTACAACTGCCACTGGAAATTTTCTTAAGAATATTTTCCTTGACAAGCAATACATGTAATTGAAGTTTTCCACATAAGTGAGCCAGGAAGTAGGGCGCTGCTCTTTTTTTACGTCATTGTCATGTTTTTCCTACATTTGGCTGCTAAAACTATGGCTGCCTGTCAAAAAAACAAAAGAATAATTCACAAAGTGTCCAAAATCCCATGCAGCTGCCAAAATACCAGATAATCATACATGTACATGTACTGCGAAGTAATTTTTAATGAAAATATAACCCACTTTAAAATTAATGGGACAAATATACATGTACTGTTTGAACGAATTTGAGGTAAAATAAAAAAACAACCAAAGGGCCATTTTTCTGCAAACTTTGGTCACGCACACAAATTGTAGGCAAAATGAGAGTGGTCTATAGAGTTTATCGACTATTTCCAACAATGCATTGTGGAAAAGGACCCTAGCAACATCTTCGTGGTGTGCTGTACTGTGAATTGACCATTTTAGGACAGACTTTAATATCACTTCTGGAAATTTACAATGCACTAGTACCCGGTTTGGTTTGTTTGCTTATATTTGTATTAGGTTTACTATTGATTGTATAATTTATCACAGATCTACATTTACTTCATTGGTTGGGTAACAGATTTAGTTCTTGATAATTTAATTACTGATTAATTGAGCAATCAAGTAATTTGTTGGTTTTTTCATTGTTATATTAGTCAATAGAGTGGCAATTGGTTCTTGCCTGAGCAAAAGCAGTTATTATTAAGTGGCACAAATCTGATTATTACAGTTTTGTTGATATCCTGTTGTCTGTGATCAAAATTGTCTCTTTAACCTGTTTGTCTCACGGTGTAACATTTCTTGCATTTGGCAATGGAGCACCAGACATTTTCAGTGCCATAGCGGCCATCACCAATGCCAAGGATGGTAATGCTGGCTTGGCCATCGGAGCTTTGTTCGGTAGGTCCTCATTTCTCCTCCAACTTTTGCCACTTCTCACTTCTCCCTCAGAATTATTTGTATAAAACCACTGTCTACCAATTTTGAAATTGGATTCAGCCATTGAGGAATGAATTGATTGGTTTGAGTTTTTGTTACTTCATTTCCTCCTTATTAATCATGCAAAGATTATTAAACAACTCTGATGAATATCACCAACCACCGTTTTTCACAGATGTTCTACGTTCTAACTAAAATACTTGATTCTTACAATTACTTCCAATCACATGCGTATCTGTAGGTCATGTTTTATAGCTAAGATCAATGCATACTATTTATAAGATAGATGTAAAAAGTGTTGTTTGCTAACATGAGTATCCAAACTAGCATGTCATATACAGCTGTATACATGTGGTACAGTGTTTACATTTGTGATGAGTGTGGGCCATAATACTGGTAGGCCAATTGCAGGCACTCACATCCCACAAGTTAAGGTCTATGTACACAACTGTTTGTTGATTCATCTGCTGTCCCATGTTTCACATAATGTACACCTCCTGTAAATTCCAATAGCTTTGAACAGCAGTGCAGGCCTGACCCGGGAGGGCCCAGTGTGTTGGGTGTCATTAGCAAGTGACACTTTGGGGACAAAGTTGAATTTGAGTCAGCAGGCGAAAGCTACCTACATGTAAATGCACCTGTTGAAAGTATTCTGTCACCATTTTCTGAAAAGCAGGAGAGTTAAGCAAAATTTGATTTGCATGTACCGGTATTTCATGCATGTATCTAAACCTGGTAATCTGCAAAAGAGCTCACATATTGGTACATGAACATGTTTATGATTTACTTCCACTTAACCCTAACCAGCTAAACCCAACAAGGTTATGCAGGATTTCAATGGTCCCTAGGGGGTTAGGGTTAATGCAAAGCGTACACAAAGTGTTGTGCATAAAAGGCCATATATGTACCTTGTTCTCTTAATCTCCCTTCATTATTTTCAACACATGTGCCTGTACATGTGTGCACATTGTGTCACATAAAACCATCAAACTAGACGGCTTTGACTTCACTATTAAAACCATCCCAATAAAAGGAATTGTAGTTATTAAGTGAAAAAAAAACACTTTTATTTTTTCGCAGTGTAATTCAACAGGAAGTTAGGTACCCATAATTTCTCACCCATTGAATGAACGTTTTTATCATGATTACACACTTTGTTGCACATAAAAACCAAGAGCTTGAAGCTTCTTCATTGTATGATAATGCAAAGTGGAATAAGATCCTGGAAAAAAATACACCCAAAAAAAAAAAAAAAGCTCTAAGACGAGTTTTCGGGGTTCTGAGTCCCATGTACCTGTACATGTAGCACCCTGGCAACATTACAGGAAAGAGCGGGCTAACAAATAATAATAATGAACTCTTAAGCTCTTGCTCTGTACATCTTCAAGCATCTCTTAATACTTTATTTAATTACAGGAGCCGGTGTTTTTGTGACCACTGTGGTTGCCGGGTCTGTTTCCATTGCTCAGCCTTTTGAGCTGGCCAAGAGACCTTTTTTGCGGGATACCATTTTCTACGTTGGCGCCGCTTTCTGGACGTTTTATATTCTGTACACCGGGAAAATATGGACGGCAGAGGCCGTGGGTGAGGTCAAGAGATGTTTTCAGTGCGCTGAACTTACTGCCAAATTCTATACTTGTAATTCGACATGTGCATATGATATTTACATGTACCATTGCTGGGCAAATATTATCTGAATTGCTGCAGGCACAGTGTCAATTAAATCATTTTTGCATTTCCATTCATGTCGCAGTTATTTCGATGCATGTTCGTGCTTACGAGCAACGTACAAGTGGGGCCAACACATGTCTGAAATGATAGTTAGCATGAGGACGAATTCATTATGGGGGCAAACTTTTGGACGCTGTCCAGGATATTCATGAGTTTTATGGAGCTGACGTTTTGGGGCAAGAAATGCCTCATAATTGAAGTCCTTCAGTTTTAATTGACTGGTTAGTCGTTCTTTTTTTTCATCAGGATTTATACTTCTTTATGTCGGCTACGTTTTCTTTGTTCTGATTGGCCGGAGGTTGTACCAGTCAAAGATCAAGCCAGTGCGAATGAGACCCACTGTGACGAGTGGAACGACTGAAGGTGATGACATTAGTGCTAAATATGTCAAACATTTGAATATTTTATCAAACATCAAATATTGGAATAATTGTTTTGTGGTTTCCAATATTTCTGAGGAAGCATGCACCCAAACAAAAATTTGGAGAAATTCATTTTTTTGGTGGTGTTCAACTTATATTCTAAAATTTTATTTCAAATTGTTTACTGGCTTCATTGGCATTCCTTGGACAGGCCCAACAATTGGGCCAAACAACTACATGTGCTACTCACTGATCAACCCTGTGTTATTGTGTGAGTCAGCAAGTTGAAAAAGTGCCCCAAAAATATGTCCTATCAATCACTTTTTGCGTTAAAAATGCTTGTAACACTAACTGCAATTTGTATATGTTTTCCTGTCCACAATTGCTGATTTTGGCAGCTGTTTTGGTATTTGCCCCGATAACATTGGTAAGTTCCGTTAAAAATCCTGGGCACATTGGAATTGGCTGTCACCAAATGCCTGAATATTCAATCAAACAGAAGGTCATTTATTCAAAACTGAAATGATTCAAATCGACTCAACCCTAATGCCGATTCATGACTAAGAAATATGAAGAAATTAATGAAATTTGTTGTGTTCACACCCCACAAGCTACCGGTATTCAAAGGCATCGTGAACAAGTCGTGTAGTACATCTTTTTTGTCCATGAAAATACTGAAAAACATTTCAGGCATTTCTACACGTTTACGCCGTGCTCCACACCATACATTTACATGTAACTTGTCAAAGCCCACTCCCATGACACATGTACATGTACTTGTCTTTGTTTTCTTGATTATGTTACACCTTTTTGAAGCACTGCATTTTCATACATACATCTTGTACATGTACATGTAAGTGTGACCATGCTCCTCTCAGACCAGATTGTCTTGAAATAGAGACATCATACTAGGGGTTAAGGGGCCCAAACCATGTCATTAATTTGGGTCTAATATCTGGGAATGCACCTTCGTGTTTCATTTGTTTAAACCTTATTTTTGCTTTTCATTCTCCTTTTTTTGAGGGCACCAGGTAATTTTTCATTTGTATCTGAAATTTGTAGTTGACATATTTCTGAGTTAAAAAAGGGCGGTGTAAATTTCAAGCGGTAACCTTACTGTGACAGTCATTTCCACTCTAGTTTCCAAGAAACTTTGAAAACTTGCTGTTCTAAAAACTTTTTTCATCAGCCGTCATTTTTTCAGTGCACAACAGTAGGCTAGTGAGCAAAGTTTCTCTCAAATATTTTAGACAAGCCAATTTTGAGTAACTTAAGCAGTGTCTTCCCGGAATGACATTAAAGCAACAGTACCCTCATTTGTCAGGAAAAAATTGGGTGAATTGTAACTTTGGAATAAAGTTGATCTTTCCAATAAGATTAACTAATTAGGGATGTTACATGAAAATAGTTTCCATACATTTAGAGTGAAACTTTGCCCACATTGTATTCCCACGTAACACTCACATCATGGGCTCCTTAAGTCCCAATACCATGATCAGCATCAAGGCCAATTTGTATGTGATAGCAAACACTAATGCAGTTTTGTAAACGTCCAATCAAATTTGAAATTGCTGGGCATATTTCAACTCAAGCAAAGTTTGCCGCAACATTTTGCAGCATCAAATTTACTCCGCTTTCACATTCGTCTGAAATGCGACCCTGTAAATTTGCTTCTCAAACCTGGAGAATACCCAGATCATTCTCATGCCATCATCTACATGAAGCGGTCGTTATACTGACCGTGTTCTCACTCCTGAGCTGATTTAGACATTCCCCAAATTGGTTTACCCCAGAGGTCACCATGATATCACGCCGCAAAAAGTCTTGGAAGTTCAGGTCTACAAGATTCATTCATATCAGTTCAGACTTAGCAACTTTCTTTGAGCAGTGTAGAAATTAATCTTCTGAGGAAGGTACGTAAAAGGCTGACATATTCATGGTTCCGTATTTTGGGGGGAATCAATAAACTTTTTATAATGTTTTATCTGTGTAATTACATATTTCCTCTGCAAACAGTTTTTTAATTCGTTTGTTGCCTAATGTGACCTCATGTTTGCAGATTTCTCAGACAGTGAAAGTTTTGTCCCTGGTGCAGTTGATACAGACAGACGCAGTTACGGACCAATGCTGCGATACGTCAGTGAAACCTACAGCCCAGGTGGAAATGTACCTGTTCCACACGGTAAACACTGCGTATAATGTAATTACAATTTTAATTTTGATAGAGTTGGAGTATTGGTGTCCATTGAGGGGTAGTATGAGAAATGGGTACCCTGTAAAACATGGGCCTACCCAAGTATCCATAAAAGAAAGCCGACTCCTAAATTAAAACAGGAAGTATGCACACATGAAAAGGTTCTTTCACATTACCACTGCTGTCTTCCCAAAGTAGTCATCAACAGCATTTGAGCAAAAAAGTAAAAAACTGTTTGAACATCAGGTTTTCATTTAAACAATCAAACAAAAGTCCTCTCAAAAACTTTCTCTTTCTTGCGCTGAAAAATAAAAATGTAATTATGTAAAGTCTGTTGGAGGCACTCACCAACCCCATAATCTGGAAGCTCTTCCTAACATCAATAATAAGCCTCTTGCAAAATAAATTTGAATGAAATCTAGTACATTGAGTTATCTGATTGCACATTAACATAATTTGAATTCCCCAGACTAAAGACACTGTTGCTATACCTCATGATCCAGGGCAAGCTTTTGCATAACGACCACCATGTCTGGAATGGACTGGTCCCTTTGTGCCCTTTTATCCACTGAAAACTGTATTGGTGCAAGGCGTCTCTTATCTTGCCCCAAATCACAAGGTACATGTATAGCAACAGTGTCTTCAGTATGGAGAATTCCAATTGTTATGTTCACTTGAATTTGTGTACCAGATTTTACTCAAATTTAACTCACAAAAGGTATTCGGGTACACGTATGGTTTTTATGAACACCCCTCTGTGGGAGGGGGCAGGAAGAAAGTTGTGGGACTGTGGCATGTCCCTGAGGAAGGGTCCTGTGGATTGGGGAGACAGCCCCTCTACATGATACATGTGCCTGTTGTGTCCCTTCGTCCTTATATCCCTCTCAGAATCCAGAAATCCACAGGAGTAAAGCACTTCACACGATTGTTCTGTTGACCTTGTCTGGTCCAGTTGCCCTCGATGGATGCATGGTCGTTTCTGGTTCATTCTATGCCTGTAGTGAAACATCTGGGCAGGATTTAGATCCCTAGTTTCACAAGTTGTATGTATTGTGTAGTCTTATTATTGGGGTCTATAGTATGGAGGGTATGTACAGGATAATTGTCCCAGTCCTGAAAAAATCTGACTTCACTTGATCATACAAAAAAGTCACCTTTTTAGTCAAAGATCGTATAGTACCGCATAGTGGCACAAAATGGAGAACTTCACCGTGAATACATGTAAAACGTTGTAATCGCATAGGCGCCATTGCAGCAAGCGATACGCCTGTGCAATGCACATTAATGCATTGGTTCAGGCGCTGCGGCAAGCACATACACCTGGTGCGCCTGCACCTGAGCATTACCATGAACCATCACCATGAACCATTACCATGGTCTTTATAAGACCATCACAAGACCATCGCAATGTCCATTCTAAATGTCAGTCACATGCCAATCAAATGGACTGCAATAAAAGCATTCCATTGTCATTTTCACCTTGTTATTTCTCTTGTGACTGGTCTTTCAGCAATGACACTGATGTGGGATAAGTCATTCGACTGCTAGGGTTTTGTTAAACCTTTTTGGTTTGTTCTGTTTTTTTCTCAGCCATTGCTGAGGCTCTGCGAGACACGGAACAGGTAGTGGCTGCATCATTGCTTGCTGGGCACGGAACATCAGTGAACGGACTACCACACAGTAAAGATGGTCCACCGACCAGCGGTCAAAACGGCCTGCCTGACCTGAACAGACCATTCATCCCTAATACAGGTAAACAGTGGTGCCGGAGAAAGGGTACTTGGAAAAAACATTGTTACATGAATTTCCGTATCAATATGTGTGGCATTATTATTGGATGATTACACTGGAATTTTAATTCATGAAACAAAAGGCATAGGATGGATTGGCACATATCAAAATACATGTATGTTGCACCAACATGTTTGTCTATTGGATATTAAACCAGTGTTTGTTAGGTTGCCACTTTGTAATTTAAAATTTTTAAATTTCAATTACAATTTGTCAATAGGTGTAAAAATTACTTCAATATTTAAAAATTGTAATTTCATTAGCACACTCTGAAAATTTGGTCGCAAAATAAACCTGTTGCAGCTGACAGAGTGAATATGCTGAGTGTGTTTTTAAGTTTCATTCAGATCAGACCGTTTAGCCATTCGTATTGCTTGACAGCCCATTTAATCACTTGGCTGGCCTTCAACAGTTGATAAAGGCCAGCCTGGCTGATCTTGAAAACGTTTCTGGTGTCACATGCAATTTAGACCGTAGTGAAATCTGGTCCCTTTTCCCTCCTTTTGGTTGAAGGTTCACAGTCTTCACTTATGTTTGTGCAATTCTATGGCCATGCACATGTTTGTTCTCTTATGATTGTAAACCTTCAGCTTCAGAGGGGCTTCGGGTATCATGGCTGCATCCGAATCTATTGTCTAGAGCTAGGTCTAGGTCTTCACTCCATTGGAAGTACGCTGAGACCTGCAGACAATAGACCTAGCCGTAGCTCTGGAAACCCGTTTCAGAAATGGCCTAAGATTTATTTTAATATTTATTTTTTCATTTGCTCATTTTATCCGATAAATGGTTTGCATTGCAGAATGCCAACCCTCCTTCTATTTGCCCTGTCAAAACCTTCAATTCTTGTGCTTTCCCCAGAGTTGTCAAAGTGCATTGGATCACAATTTCTGGCAGGATGTTTGGGCAGCCCTTACGCGCTGCCCAGTTCTTACCAATATTGGGAAGGCTAGTTTTTTTTTCATAAAAATCTAAATGAACCTGTTGAAATGGACAAAAAAATGTCACCTAACCTAATCATTGGTGATTTTGTGAATACAGATGACCCAAGCACGCCATTGTTGGGCGCCCGCACTGACGAAAACACGGCGGACGAGAAACCGGAATTGACACGCATGGCCCGTGTCTGGGAGGATGCCAAAGAATTCCTGCATGGTATCAACCCCATCGACACCAACAACTGGAAGGCCAAGTCCATCTTTGGCAAATTCTACGAGATCTTCAAGGTGAGAATTCCTAAATGTACAGAAGCTGAATTGTTTGACAGCCTCTGGAATATAAGAAGTCATATTTTATATTATATACAATAGGTTATTTAGTATTTTGAATTCTTTCAAATCTACCGTAAAGCCAATTCTTATAATAATAATAAAACTATTAGAACTTTGAACATTCCTAGCATCTGCCTCTTGTTGTACATCTGTCATTCTCTAGTCTCCCATCCAGCTGGTATTGCAGTGTACTGTACCTCTAGTGGATCACACTGAAGACAAACACTGCTGGAACAGACTCTTAAATTGCTTCCAGCTACTGATTGGGCCAGTCTTTTGTGTGGTGGTCACTAAAAGTAAGTAGTCTCTTTTCCAGGCATTTTACTTTACGATTAGCTTATGTGTACACAGTTTAGAGTAAATCAAAGGTTGGTAGAATCCTACTCTGGTCTGTGATTCCTCTTAGTTTGCCAGGTTATGAATAAAAATGAGGAATTACAGCTCATTTTCCATATTCATTGCTGTGACCTAGGCTTGGTAAGCTTCCTTCTAAGGGGGGTACTTTTGTATCCCCCAATGGTGTTTCCTTTACTGCTCCTTTGAGAAAGCTCATCTGATTGTCAGTTTCCTGCTGAAGGAATGTTTGCAACATTTATGCTCCTCCCATCTAATTTAAATAATAAATACTGGTTGTTGTACTCTTCTTGCACAATGTCTTCTGCATTCCAGGTATCAGCAGTACCTTAAACTGTGTTGAGGCTCCTCCCAACTCATTTAAATTATGAATATGCGCATTAATACTCCCTGTATTCTTCCAAATTTCAGATTCCAACTGATGACTTTTCTTTTTGAGCTCACACTGTTTATACATGCTCCGCCCAGCTCATTTGAATGATGAATTGTCACTTCATCTTGGTAACTTTTCCCGTGCCAGATTTTTCTACAGTGGTGACTGGCGACTTTGTCTTATGGCAACTCATGCTATGTGTGGGCTTCTTATTAGCATTTGCTGTCTTCTTAACATCCAGGTCCGATAAGCCGCCTGTTTACCATTTTGTAAGTCTTCTGCTTCATGCTTTTGAAATTGAGTACTGACTGTGTCGTCGTCGTTATGTTAAAGCAGCTGCTACTGTTTTCGCAATGGCTAGCTTGAGCAAAACAACAATGATGCATGCATGACAAGTTTGTGTCGTGAAAGAGAGTGCAATCTCTTTCCACCATTGACATATTGTTGGTGATATAGTCAGAGCAAGGTTTTCATGTTCTCTGAAGCTTCGGGCATTGAAGCTATATACCTGCGAAGTGAGATACGCAGGTGCACCATGGAAATCACCTCTTATGTAGAGAAGTGTTTGCTCTGAAAAGAGCCAATCCAAAGAGAAGCTTCTCTATATGTTCACTTCTGCTTCCTTTGTCATATTTGTGTATCCATGTTTTTCTTTAGGACAGCTCAAATATTGTGTCATTTTTGTGTGGTCTTACCTGTTCAACTAAGCGTGATATTTTTGTTTTGTTTGTTTTTCTGTCAACAGTTATTTGCATATTTTGGGTTTGGCATATCTGTGCTGTGGATCTATTCAGTTGCAAATGAAATTGTTAATCTATTACAGGTTGGTGTAAATATTTTTCCTTTCTGGGTTTGTACTTTGACCATTGTCCTGTAGTCATTTGAACCGACCCCATTCTGTAAAAATTGCTTGATTGAATTGATTGCTCAATGATTTTCTGCGAGAATGTTGGCTTATAGGTTTTTGTGACTTTTAGTTACTAGTGAATACCACTGTGACTCTGTGTGTGAGACAGTTACATGTAGGTAATTCCAGAAATTTGGAGTCCAAAAGTGTGACATTTTGGTGTCCCTGTTACATCTGACCTTTGTTATTTAACATGGAAACATCACCGAAATTGATTTCAAACTATTACTATTTGTTTTGCAGGTAATCTGCATTAATTCATCACTCTTGGAAATTGGAAAAATGTGTTTTGAACTCATATGTCACATGTGACAGGGACACACACACACACACACAAATGAACCCCTAACATCTGGAAAGACCCGTCTTACTGTTTCGTCAGGTGCCTTGAGATTCTCTGAACTAATCCATGAGAGTGTTTTTGTATTCTTGAAGTTAAGCATTTCTGCATTTTCTTCTGAGCTCAGGCTTCTTAAGATTTTGGGGTTTATACATATATTTTGTTTGTGAACAAGAAGTCCAACAGTTGTTTTTATTTTGATACAGATGTACGGTTTAGTTTTTCAGCTAAGTGATGCAATTCTGGGACTGACGCTATTGGCCTGGGGAAACAGTATAGGAGGTATGTACAATGGCTGGTGTAGAATTTACAGTCACTATGAAGCTGTGAAGTACCCCCAGCCTGAACAAGCCTCAGTGTCTGTCACTCCTTACGAATAAGATTTGTCTGACCTCCTCTGCCAATTTCAAAATCCACCATCTGTATTAAAATTTTCAGTGATAGCATCATAAGGCAACGGTATATGTTGATCATCTCCCTTGCATTGGTTTTCTGATTTCTTTGGGGCATTTTATGATATCACTTCCCTAAATACTGGACATAAAGCTGCATGCACTATCCCCACAAAGTGTTCAATATTTAAACTTTGGTAGTTCATTTAGGTAAAAAAAAATGACCGTCGTATCATTAACTGTTCAGTGGAACATGCTCATGCGCAGACCAATTTGCATGATAATGCGAATTAGAAATAACCATCAACAAATAATGCTCTGATTGGATTGATACTACAAGCATGCTTAACGTGCAAGTCAAGTTCTAAAACTTCTTTCTTGGGACTGCCAGGATCCGAAAAGGAGAGAGGATTGGAATCCACTCGTGCCTGAACTGGGAGAAGATCCAAAATCCCTTCTCTCTTTGGGTGGCTAGTAATTTGTGCATTCACATTTTTTTCGGACGTTGCTCTGCTTCTCTCCTCAGATTTAGTGTCGGATATTGCAGTAGCCAGACAGGGCTATCCCAGGATGGCTGTCGCTGCATGCTTTGGTGGACCTCTCTTCAGTATCCTTTGATACCAGTCCCAAATTGTCTCAAAAGTCTTGATAAAGTTTGGGATAATGTTATTGAGAGCTGGTCTGTAGTGCCCCTCGCCCAACAGAGAAAGAATAGTTTGCTGATGATGGATTAACCCTAACCCCATAGGGACCATTGAAATCCTGCATAAACTTGTTGGGTTCAGCATGATTCATAATGAATCACAGTTAATTTCATATTTTCTTGGTCCATGTTTTTGTGCAGGAATATGTCTGTTGAACGTTGACCTCATTTCCATGCATTCTCTCAAGAGGATACAAAATAGGGCAGAAGAGCCAGTCATAAAATCAGCAATGAACTTAGTTCTTGGTGAAGTATGACCAGAGATCATATGGTACCGTTATTATCTACCAGGAGTAGACCAAATTCACATGCTGTGGAATTATGCAGATCTGCTAATGAGCAGATGGAATCAGACCAGAGCACCGCAAGGCTTAAAGGTTGTTCATCATTGCAGATGAGTAATTCGCTAATGCGCATGAAGGTTGAAGCATATTGTGAAAGCTGAGGGCACTTTTGGAAAAGCTTCCTAAATGAGTAAACCTTTTTCAGACATGCTTCTCGGCATTGGCATCTCATGTACGGTGGCCTGCGTTGCTCATGGAGGAACATTCCATGTAAGTTGGCATAAGTATCACCCTTGCTTCTCATTTGAGTGGATCAAACCGTCCAAACTGCAAGGTTAATATAGGCATAGATTTAGGTAGCCTTCGCTTCATCCATGGTGTTGGCTTGGCTTTCTAGCCTTGACATTTTACGTATGTCCTAAACCTGGGACTCCAGGGCTCTATTTTTGGCTAAGGCAATATCAAACCATCAAATGTGAGGTCAGTACTACCATTTTTTTCTTTGTTCAGTTCCAGTAATTAAATTTTCAAAATGATTGCAGAACTTGAGATGATGCCAAGGTCATAGCTAATGCCAAGGATTGAAAAATGGGCCATAATTTGCCAAAAGTACAAACAACAAAATATCGAAATTCCTGCGCTTGGGCTCGATAATATATTGTGATCCCAGGGATAAGTTACAACAAGAGGTACAATGATGTTAAGATTTGTGGCTTCCACCTCGGGGCACTTCATTCACAAAATCCTCCGATTTTTTGGTCTGTTTAAAGCCAGTTAATGTCGGGCTTTCGTCCCAAAAAAGCTGCAGGGGGCGGTTTTTTAACAGATTTTTTTGGGGGGGCAAATTCTTCAACCTTGCCATTTTTTTCTGGCGCCCATAAAACTTGTAGGGAGGCACAACTGTTAATTTTACTCCCGGACATCAGTATTTTAATTCTTTTGCCTCCTGAGTTCTTCTATTCAGCCATTTTTTCAACTGCCCTGGTAAACATTGTGGCGTGTGTCCAGACGTCAACAGTTTCACATACAAAAGGTCCATAGCATACATATATGTAGGCATCACCCATGGCCATGTGTGTTTTTTTGCCAGTTGTTTTCAATACAAAGGAGTTGCTAGTCTGAATTTTGTAACCTTATCTCTTTTGGTTTTCGTAAGAGTGGTTTTGCTTCCTAGCAAATCAGCTTACCCAAACAAAGGAGGTCTTGGTGTGGGCTCCCCAATTCAATTCTAATTACTCAAGAAAGGCATTTCCAGATTATTGTGGGGGGTGATGGTGGGTCCACTGAGCAGCAGCGTCCACATGTAAGATTGTCTTCTGCAGTTTGACCCAACCAAGCAGGACACGTTAATACGTCAACTATGGAAATGAAAATAGAATTCTTAAATGAATGCCCGCTTCCTCCATGGAACGAATAAGGAAAATTTTGTGACTTTACACGTCATCCAGCAACAAGTGGTTAAAAGGGGCGGGTGGCTATATTCAGTCTTGGGCCCTAGAGATTGGCTACTGTTTTAGGGGTATGTTTGGGGTTGAGGAGGATGGAAAAAAAAATCAAATTGGCTAACACTAGTTGAAACTCTGCTCCCAAGTGTCACTAAGCTGTGCTATATTTGTCCAATTTTGCATTGATTTAGCGGGCATGTATTTAGCGTTGTGGACCCTGATCATCTGCAAGTTTCTGATGTCCGTGCTCTTCATATTGACTCTTGCAGTTGAGGTCAAGCCAGCTACAGTTTGTCCTGGCGGCTGGGCTCGGGGTTAGTCTCTTCTTTTCCCTCTTCTACCACGTCGTCACGAACTTCCGAGCCACCAGGACCTACGGCATCTGCCTCTTTCTTCTCTACGTTGGCTTCCTTGTCGTTGCGGTCCTCACTGAGACAGAGGTCATCAAATGGTGATGGAGTAAGCAGAAGGGCGGAGGAGGGGGGGGACAAAAGGAAAGGGGGAAGGCACATGAATACATGGTTACCCCTCGTGTCCTGTGGTCCCCAAATCTCGTATCACAATGCATACCACTGTGCTCCCCGTATGGAGAACAGCGCAGCTCTCCCCTCACGCAGTGTCAGTGATGAATGTTTATGAGTGCAATAAGAATACTTTCATGAGGTGAGAGATGAAATGTTTGATTCCACGTCATGAAGCCAACTGGAATCAAACACTTCGTCTGTCACCGAATAAAATTATTCTTCCTTTGGACGAATGTAAAACATTCATAATTGGTTTTGTACAATACCTGCATAAATCTTCTTCTGTAACAGAACAAATAACCCCGCTCATGTAGGCTTATTAATGGCTGTCATTTTGCTAGACAGATTCGTGTCCGAAGTGCCATCCACTGGTGGTATTGTGCAATGTTGGACTGGTTTCTGTCCCTACATTCTTTTCCTTTTCTTACTGGGAATGAGAATATATTAAATGGGGGGCAGGAACCAGTCAAGTGAAATGAAGTTCTGTTCAACAGGTACCGTTTAATAGAACAAATAATTAAATGACATGTGATCAAGGATCCACCAACCAGATGACAGGGATTTATGCAAGTATTGTATAATAGAGTATTCCGCCCTCAGTGGGTTGAACACAGAGTTGATAGCATCAAAGATAAATTGACCATTCCATTTTAATCAACAGACTAAACCTCCAACAACTGTCACTATAGACTAGTTGTTACTTAACCAAAATTGTACATTCCAAAGAATTTCAAATTAAAAATTTTTAGAGTCTTTATTAAAGTTCAGTCTATATTTTATTAACAGAGAACTTAACTTGCTTTCATTGAAAATCCATTTTTAAAAGGAAACATTTTTAGTCAAGAAAAGTGCTGGGGTCAACTGTTTCTTTTTTGTCTATGTTACAGTTAGAGTAGTCTCCTCCAAGATGTGTTCAAAGTTGAACAAAGTTCCTCATACGAACAGGACACACTGAAGGTCTGCTCCTATTGCTTGTTGAGAATACTCCCTAGGCTGTTCAACTTAATACAAATATCAAGTAGGATATCTGTATTAAACTGAATACCAAATTATGCTCTAGGTAGCGTAAGGAACCAGTGGGCCTCATGTGACGTCTCGTGCGTTACTGCCACCAAATAAAGTAGAAAAAAATAAGCATGGACTCAGATTCCTAAAATCACAATGAATAGTCTGGAAGCAGTAGATGTTGAGAAAGTGCGGAACACTTTGCAGCATGTCAACCAGATTTGTCTTCCATTTCCTGACATGGAACTGTACAGCATTTCTAACTTCTGTGAATGGTTTGAAAAGAACTTTTATAATATTCTGCATTATTCTTGTCTGAGATTTGAGCATGTGCTCCTCAACTTATAAGTGCAAAATTTTTGAGATGTGTATTTGTTTTCCTCTTCAGCATTCTTAAATCTGTGCATTAATAACAATATTTTAATCGCATAAATGCAAATTAGAACCAATCATGTCTAGGCATGATATAATCGGTGTGGTCCCTTTTTAATAAGAAATGAGGCAATAGCTGTGTTCATCTTTCATGCGTAGGTTTATTTTTTTTAATGAACACGAGAAACTTTATTGATTTAAGAAAGGTGCTTTAGGTAGGTCACCTTGTTTTTAATTGGGTTGTATCATTCTCCTACTTGAACATTCATATAATAAGTATGTGAGATGAATATGCAAATGTAGGCATTTGCATCTCATTAACATTTTGTAAAGCAACTGTGTGCCTTGAGGACTGCTAAATCCACCAGAACACTTATGGACACTCAGATTATTCTCAAGATTTAAGTTGCAAGTGCAACTTTCAAACTGTGTGCCATTTATAATGGAAAGCCGACCTCAGCTGCAGCAAAGATATAAGCTGTTCTACACGTGGAGCCATTTCAGCCAATGTCATTGTCATGCAAAGCAGAAATGAATTTGCATAACGTGCCGAAACAGATGCAGTTCAGATCACTCTGCCCTTTGATACATCAATCAATAAGCCATTTGTGAGTTAAATTTGAATAAAATCTGGCAGGCCTACACTGAGTTCTTTAAATTCACCTGAACGTAACAATTCTCCAGACTAAAAACACTGTTGCTATACCTCGTGATTCAGGGCAAGATTTGCTTAGTCTTGGAACAATACACTGATCTCACTGGATGAGCAGGGCACAAGGGAACCAGTCCATTCCAGAGATGGTGGTTGCTATGCAAAAGCTTGCCCCAAATCATGAGGTAAAGCAACAGTGCCTTTAGTCTGAGGGATTCAAATTGTTACGTTCATTAGCAATCAGGTAAGACAGTGTACCAGATTTTATTCAAATTTAACTCTCAAATGGATTATTCCACTGTGCCTTGCATCGTGATGTTGGAGCAACATGACATTATCTGTAGTGCTGTATATTTTCAAGTAGCTTTCTAAGGCTGCTTTGTTGTATTCAGTTATATATTTCTATCCATATATGGAAATAATGTTTGATTAACCCTGAAAAAATCCCCAGGGTGGGCGGGGGAGGGATTGAATCTACCCCACCTTGACATTTTCTCTGTTATCATCTCAACATATTTTATTGGGGTGCTAATTTTTCTGGAGTTTTTGTCATATAATAATTTTGACACTAATTTTTAATGAAAATTGGACATACATGTACCACGCTTGCAATACTTCCATTTTTCCAAGATATTTAAGGCAAAAATGTTACCATTTTCCCTTGACAGCTCGATGTACATGGGCCAGCGAAAGTGAGCCCATGAATCACAAAGTAACAAAAACAAAACCTCATGTTGAATTGAAACCTTCACAGCTGGTATCGTGGATACCTTTATATGCCAGCCAAGTTCAAAAAAGATCAGGCATGGAACCTTTTACAAGTCTCCTCACAAGTCCAATCATAACCATTTGCAAGATGAGCCAAAAGTTAGAGTATGAACAGTGACAGAGGAATACTTTACTCATTGGAATATGGGTCATTCCATGAGGTTGGGGCACAATTTCTGACGGTGTCCATTGTTATGTGGGCTCCGTAAAAATGAACAGCTATTTCCCTGCGTGTGGATTCCAAATTACACATCTTGCAAGGCTGAATACAGAGGGGCATGTTCTTTTTTACAGAATAAACGACCTACTCTACAAGTCACGACAGATGGTAAAAGTTACCCATGCAACAAGGACACCGACACAAATTGTGACCCGTCATGGAATGACCCATATAGCTTGTGACTTGATTTAAGACTGGATGACTGATAAATGGACTGGTGGTGTGTACTTTCAGAGATTTGTAATGACAATGATGAATGTGACTATGCAACACTGGAGTACATTTGAAGCAAGATGTGGGACGGAGAGAAACCCCCCCCCCCGCCTTTGTGTTGGTCATTGTTTGATCGGAATCTCAGGAATTCTTTACAGACTTCTTGGGGGGGGGATGTGTTAGGTAACAATAGTCTAGAGTGCATATAGGGATTGGACAGGTAAGGGGGGTACCCCTCCATCCCATATCTTGCCTGGTATACTGGAGTAATATTCAACAGCCATTGTCTTGTGCCTCGGCCTGGCACAAGCACAGTGACGGTACACAGTTGCTTACTTGTCACCATCGTTTATTCTCTTTGGAGCGGTATTGTTTTCTCATGAGTGTGTGTGATTGTAATATGTTTTTTCTAAATTTGACTTATTTGATCAAATTGTTCATTGTTTGATAATTTGTTTTCATTTAAAACCATTGAAGATTGTGTGCAATTCGTGCATTCTGTATGATTTCTTTGTAAATTTATTCGCTAAGTGAGGCATCCCAAAATATCAACTCGCATATTAGCAAGATGTGTAACATTGAATTCCCAAATTGTTTAAAACAATGTCTTCTTCTTTGGTCATTGTAATATGCAATAAAGCAGATAGAAATTAGTTTTTAGGTTTACACAGAGTGGATTTTCATGCCTGTTCAGCACCCAAATGTTGCCAAAGACCAACCAAACTTTAACCCAAGACTAAAATGTAGCCCTGCCCCTGTGGTAGTGGCGCCAAATCAGTACCTCTTTAAGCAGCCAGAGCCGTATGCATGATGTAATATTGTCAACTGGTAGTGATTGTCAGCATAGTTTATTTCAATCACGCACGTGGTTAACAATGTTAGGTTAATCCCCAAGACATTAACATATTGATCATTATAATGTTCAGTTCGCAAAACGAAAATTAAAGGAAATGGAGAGATAATGACGTTTCAATCAATCAACCAATCAACGTAAAGGTATCATGCTCATACGTAATTGCATCGCACAGCAGACAGTTTTTGTGACATTTTCCCCCATATTTAATTAGGCCAAAAAACAACATGCAAAACAGCGGTTGATGATTTTTAGTATTTTATAACATGCTGTTTATTTTCTCCTTTTCCAGGTTGATAACCTTCATCGAAGTTGATTCTTTAAGTAATGTTTATTTTTCATGTCTTTCGGCATAAAAACATTTAAAACTATTACAGTGGCTCCAAAAGCAAATAAATATTAAGAAAAATCTCGTTTGAAGAGTGTTATGTAATGTGTCCTCGAAACTCGAGCCTCAAAACTTTGGTAACGAGGCGCCAAAAGATTTTGATCGTTCAGTGAAACGCAAAGATGCCGCCTTTTTGGAAAATTAATCTACCGAATACAACATATTTATATATTTCTATAAACTTATAGAGTTATAACTTCTCTCTAAATATTGAAATATGTAGATAAACCTGACGCTCATGAAGACATATTTATAAAGTAATTTATGATGAATATTCGTTCAAATGTACAAAACCGATATACTTTTGTGAGCGAGGCCGGATGAGTAACACAACCCAAGACGGCGGCATTACTCGTACTTCGCGTAAACATCGTCTGCTGGGAATTTGTGGCGCCAAAATGTGATGCACTCTTTACTGTCCAATGGCGAGCTCGCTACCGTTTCTTGGTGTTACTTTTGGGTCGGCCAGAGCCCCTGTTGCGGGGCAATTTACGTCTGAGATTGCTCCACTGAGACTCCCTCCGGCCTCGCGTTGTCGGACGAGATAGATCTTGCAAGCGACCTAGACAAAAAGAAATGAAGGTAACGTTGACATGTTTTGTTAATTGATTGGTTTACTCTGTTTAGTCCTAAACGATTCAAATTCGGTTGCGATTCTGTGTGAGCAATCCTTTCGATTTATTCATGTTCGAAGGTGATTACTTTTACATGTGCATTTGACACGAATTTGTGAAAAAATGACGTTTCTTCACCGCAGTGACTATACGATTCAGAAAAAACTCCCCCTGTGTGCAAGTGTTGCGCAAGTCCGTTACTAATTAGGCTAGAAATACTCAACCCCGTTTTCGCACGTTTTGGAATAAGGTAAATTCAGACAGTCTGAAAAAATGATAAACAGGGTCTCAAGTCCAGACTTCTAAAATTGAGCAAAATAAAAATAATGTAGCATGTGGCATACACTATATTGTAGGCTGTATACCGTGTCTCTACCGCATAGGACATCTTTTCCAAGCCAAATTGAATTCGCAACTGCTTGGAATATATCCTCCCATAATCAAGCAATGAAGTCAATCTTCCCCCCCCCCCCCAGGTTTTACAGTTCCTGACAATTTATGGTGGAAATGTCAAAATGATTTTTCTTCAAGGTTTCCCGGGACACAAGAAGACACCATAATTTGTTTCTGTCGTTTAATCGCCGCCCAATGTCCTGTGCACCTGCTCCCCCACGCTTCGCAGCCAGGAGTCCTTGCATCATTGTCGGCTTGTAATAATAATTATTTATTTAACACAGAGATGAAATGAATCCTTCATCCGGTCGAACACAACAGTGTCCCTCGGATCGAGAAACACACCTGCTTTGCCAAAATGATGCTGGCATGTACATGCGTGTAAAACACTGTCACTTAATTCAAGTGCTGCTAGCATGTAGCGATATTATGCAAGAGAGGAAACCATTTCATTCTTGGGACAGAAATGTTCTTCAGGGGCTATAGTTTCTGGAAGCTGCTCTCGACGGCACGGGTAATGCTCCCATAACAGTCCTTGCCTTTCCAGGTGGTACGTGCGTCAAAGCGGGGAAACATTCTTTTTTTCGATTACAATGTGGAAAAGTCAATGTATGTTACAAAAACCATTTATAAAATTTACTTGATAACTCTGGACAGTTCTTCTCGGGGTCATCTATGAGTAGCGTATACTTTGTTGGGTCGTTTTCACCAGCTCCTTCTGATTGGCATATGAAGAGAAAGTGGTAAGGTTAAAGATGGAAACAAAATTTTGGGAACAATGATAAACTCACAATAACGGACAAGGATCATCGATAGGGGAGGGAAGATTTGCAGTGCCTCTGCTCTGAAGGAGAAAATGAGATTTAGGAATATTAAAATAGGTGTCACGTAACTGAGTTAAACTTTGAATTTTATTTGCCAAACCTGTTAAAGCTCGTCGCTGTAATTGTATCAGACTGTTTGGGCAACGGCTGAAAAACATGTCAATTTTGTTGAGATCATGAAGTGTTTGGTAATGAGTAATTCTGGTGAAAAATTATGGTATATGATTGATTTCGTGGCGCTGATTAAAGTTGATTTTTTTAAATGACTGGGCACATTGACTGCTATATGTTGATGCCGTGTCATCCGTGTGTATCGCTTTATCTATTTCTTGGCCTTCATGTTGACGTGGGTTAACATTCAGAGTGCTGCTTACTTTCCACTTTGATGACCCAGTAAGTCTCCCTGCCGTCCAGCAAAGTATTTGCGTACGAGTGCAAGTTGTCCGGTAGACGCTTGATGCTACCCAGTGCGTCTGATAAGTCTAATGTAGCTGGGAAAATTATTTCAAAAAGTGATCAAGGAAAAGATTTAAAAAGGCAGAGTATGTACCGAAGTTCAGCTTCTGTTTTACAGTGAACAGTGAGATTAATCAGGGAATTCTATCGAAGGATGTAATACAGTGTAATTCAGACTTAAAGTTCTTAATGGTACACGCTAGGCTGGCCGAGATTTGGAATATGGAGGTACGCTCGGAAACTGAACGGGAAAGATGGTATAGTCTTTTCTCCCTCTTTTAAACTCACCATCGGCATCGGTTATATTGCAGTTTTTGCGAATACACTCCAACAGAATTAAGCTAGAGCAGTAAGGATTGAATAGCTTCTGTTCGTTATCTGAGGAGGAAATGAATGGGAGAAAATCAAACAAAAGCTTCTGTCTTTACCCAAAACAAAAGCCCCCCAAAAGGGGGGAAATATTAAAACGCAATGTGTATAGTTATGAGATAACAGGGTCTTCATAAATGGGTATTTGGAAGGCCGACCTTATATCCAGTGTGTCATGCACTTTTGCATCAAGGAGTGAAAGCGCGCGCAGGTGAATGAGACGAAAGCGTAAAACTAACATTTGTTTAACAAGTTAACAATGGAAACAGTATTGGAAACTCCCGATGGTACCGAAGTAACCTAGGTCTTCATAATGAATTATTCAGTTCGAAAGGTGGACACCGTTGGGTAACTTGTATCAGGTGATAAATCTTTCACAGGGACTCTCAGTTAATGAATATTACACAGTCTACGAACGAGGGACTCTCAGTTCATGAATATGGGACAAAGGAGGCCAAGAATTTAATGGTTGCGTGCAGGTCAAAAAAACTCTGAAATATTAATTACCGGACTGGTCGAAATGTCTTTGTGACTGAAATGCCACTGTATTATGTGCATGAGACCCACACACAGAACAGCCGATTTGAGAAACCTCATATGCAGGTATAAGTAACGAGACATTTCAAATTATAGAATGTTCGAGGAGGAGAATATACCAAAATACATGTGCTCGCGCCCAATGTAATGGTTCTTTGATGGGCTGTTTCTCCCGGGATGGCCCGCCCATAATGCTTCTGTCACGTTATCATTAAGTCGCTCGAAAATATTCACTCAAATATGCAAAATCAAAATGGCGGGTCTGACTTTTTCTGGCATAGTTCAGTGTCAAACAGTGACACATCGCCCCGTTGTGTTTGAGATGTGTCTCGAGCCTACAGCTTGGAAGTAGAGGTGCAACATTCCAGAGTCCCCAACAGAAAAATCGATGGAGTCATTTTAGAGACATGCACTGCCAACATCCTCGCAACCACGGGGGCATTGTCCGGTTAACAGCCTGCTTTCGGATTACATTAACTTAGCTTTGTTCGATAAGTTTGCAGAAGACAGGTCTCTTTGGCAGGTGCTCTTCGCCAGTTTCGATTTTGTTTATTTATAGAGAACAAGACCAACCCCGCTGATCAGTAAATGAGGACCTTTCAACGCAAGCGATTAAGACCAAACATTTTGGGGACCAAAATATTTTGTTTAAACTTCATTCAGGATAATTCAGAGCATTTTCAAAGATTCTACCGTTTTAAATACAATGTAGTTTCAGTTTTGCGCATTTTTGGATAGACATCCTTCAAGTGGAAAGTTGATGCGTTAATTACTCGTCTTGTCCGTAGTATTAGTGGGATAGAGTAAATTTTCGCACTCTGGAAACTGGTGAGAGCGTAAAACTGTCAATTAATTATTTTAGTTTCGATTTAAAAAGAAGCCTTTTGCCTACAAATCGGCACTATGAGTTCAAATTCAAGCGGCAATAAACGGGGCTGCGTTGTAAGCATGATAGTTGATTGTAAAGAAATTGGGATCATTGTGAAAATTCATCCCACAAAAATTCTGCAATCATTAAATACACGAAGATTTCTAACGTATGGTTTGCCTCCTCCCTCCATAACTTGGGCTATTGTCACCAGTAATGATAACGGACGTGTTCCCAGCCGATGCTTCTGTCTTAAGTTTGTTCCCACACCTTTTTTCAGCACATGAACTTATTTTCTGGACACATTTTACACCTGGGCCTACAAACAGTTTTAGGCTGCACGAAGACAAAAGGCAGATCTATCATACCACCTATGAATTAAGTACAAAATTCCGATGTTGCTGAAGATCAATATCACGCCTTTGAGGTTAGGGTATCAACAGTGATGCCCTACCATTTTAAACGGACTAAAACAATAATGAAGAGGGTGAGACTGTCAAAAGAGAAAAACTAATTGTTTTAGTGATAACTAGGCCTATAACAAAGCAAGAAATTTGCCATCCATGAGTGGAATTGAAATTAATGTGAATTTAAAGTGTTTTTACTATTCGGGGTGCAAAATGAATGGTACACCTTCAAGTGAAAACTCCTCTTACAGTTTCAGTGTAAAAACACTTACCCCCATATTTCACAGTGATGAATGTCATCTTCGGGGTGCCGTGCTGGAGTTCCAAAGCTGCGAGTAACCCGCCTCGTGTAAAGCAAGTCAGCAGTACGATATTGAGTTGTCGATGTTCTGCACACCTTCAAGTTGGCAGCGACAACCGTCAAAATGTTAGACAACTAAGGGGTTGGCACGATGTACACGTACATGCATGTACATCAGTACATGCACAGAGCTCTAACACGTATCATGTGACTCCAGAAAAATCATTGACAATAATCCTTTCCTACCAGTCCATTTGTAGCAGTTGTGATACACTATAATGGGGCCTTGGACCGGACACGTACGGCCCGACGCGCATCAGACTTAGGTCCAATATTGTGCTTACTTTTATATGAGGCCAAGCCGTGTGGCATTCAATAATTCATACACCACTCGGCACATTGATTTCCACATCAGTTTACGATCATTGGCCAGTATTTCGCCCGATCAAGATAGAGAGAGGGCTTGTGTGACTTTTACGTCGTTGACATGGGGACTGTGAACAACCCATTGGCCCCTTGGAGTGCACGCGTGCTTCTACCCAGCAATTACACCCACGCGCAAACAATGTGTATTTTGACCCAGAACGTCACCTTTTTATGTCCCAAGCTAAGCACTCCATCCTGGCAACTGACAACAAAGTTGAAGTCAAGCAAATGCGGTCACCCTGTCTGTCGTACAAGGTCACTAAATTGTACTATAAACCCACACTTAACTCACGCCGGCCTAGTACACGACACGCCAACGTGTGTAATCCTCTTATATGCTTAAATCTGATGCTGATAAAACAAAACTGATCGTCGATTTTTTTCCATATTTGTTAGGCTGCAAAATATGTTATTCATGGTAATCAATTGGGAAATTGTAAAGGAAATGTGTGTGTGAGCATCAGTCACACCAATAATACAGGCAGCAATCCAGCCCCCCCCCCAAAAAAAATTCGGCCACCCATAAACGACAGTGGCAAACAAAACATTTCCAGGATTTGGTTGCAGGTCAAGACTAGTATGCGAAGGAGGTGGTCCACTGAGGAGGAGGAATGAATTGGACTTGACATCAACTGTGACAAAGACCGGTAAGTAAGGACGGTCGAGCACCATTGCTTTCCTAAGCCGAGTGCTCACGCCGCGCCGATGCTTCGCGAGGGTCTGTGATGCACGATCAGCTGAACTCGGTTGTGTCTACTTAACTCTGTGCGCGATGCGGGAAACAGCAGTGTTGTATTTTTAGAGTCCATCACAAGTCCCTGTAAGTCCATCACAAGTCCCTGNCCCTGTAAGTCCATCACAAGTTATTTTGTCTTAAGCCATTTCACAAACTATTCAAATGAGCTGTAACATAAGTATTCTTTTGTCATTGTTCACTCGGTTACTTGTGACTGGCCTTGTGAAGGGACTCGTGACTGGACTTATGGAGAGACTTGTGAGAGGATTTGTGATAGACTCAAATACAATAATGGGAAACAGAGCCATATTCGTCCACAAATTTGAGGATGTTAATGGTTTCTTTAAAGAAACCGACTGATCCCCTCTATATAACCTCAGTTTTCAGTATTTGCACTATCCCAATATAGGGCACTAACGCTGAAATTTTTTCCTCCGAAAAACTCATCCATTCAATATATCTTACTTATTTGTTGGTATAATAAACAGGTTGCAAAAGCTTACGTTCAGCGGTGTTAAGTTGGTATGGAAGCCATTTGCCAAAAAAAACAACAACAACAAACAAAAAACAAAATAAAAAAAATGCAAAGAGCAAACGTAAACCGGCTGAATGGGAATAATTGGATCTCAATTGCTGCGCTGGATTTCTACCAGAGGCAGACACAGATCCCAGGGATGTTGATTCAAGTTATGGGAATGGGTTGGATAGTTTGGTTGAGATGAGGCAGGTGATGGAGCGGGGCATACACATGCCATGAAGGTACCCCGATTTATTGTCTCCGACAAGGGCGGATCCAGACACGATTTTCTTTTTTTTTGGGGGGGGGGGAGTTGTTTGGGGCCTACTTTGAAAATATGTAACCTTTACTTTCTGACCTTTCTCTGGGGTGAAGCTAAAAGTTTAAGGGTTTTACACGCGCTTTTAGGAATGAGCGAAGTGAAAGAGTCCCCAAGGCAACCTTATTACTTTGTTTTCAAAAAGAAATACATGTACACCTACATATTTGGGACGATGATTCCGTTGGCCCCCGGTCCCAACTGGACCAACCGATGGATTCCAATCATTCAAAGAAAAACAAAAGTGCGATTGTGGATACTCTGAACGTCCCCAACCTCGACTTATCTAGACATGTACATAAGAATGAAGAGTGAATTGTGTCTTGCAACTGTGCATGTTTCTATTCACGCGTAAGTGATATCCCAAAATACGTGTAATACAGCAGAGAGAGGGAACAAAATGTAACGAGTAAAACCACTTTTTGAGGAAAAATCTTCGAAAAAATATGAATAAAAAAGCACAGCTGTGCAGCCAACATTACGGACTGACATGTATTTAACATTTCGCACTCTTTATTAGCTCAAAAAGCCGTTCCTCATACCTTGTTGGATGACTCCAATTAATTATTTTCGTTCAGTTTTATAATTTGGAAAACTAAAAAATCAAATCTTCCAAGCGTTTTTGATACGCTTAATATTAAAGTTTATTCAACAATCTTTCGTTTCCTGTTTTATTGGAGATGTCATTTGATGACGGTGGCAGTCGATTTCTTTTCTTCAAAAGTGACGATTACCTATCCAAGGATTCCTAAAGTCCATCGCTGCTAAGAAAACTAAAAATAACATATTGCTTTATTAAAAATTCAAAATTTTACTGTCGGCGAATGTTAGCAACTAGCCTGCCCGAGCTGTACGTTGGAGGTGTAATTGCATAGCGCCCTCTATCTTCACGACCTGTCGCTGTTTCATTTTTGAACTGAGCATGCGCACACATCATTGCATTGTCGTTTGTCGTGTTTCGTACCCTACGCGAAAACGACAGAACGTAAGTTTCTTTCTTTTTTGCGTATTTTTAAACAACTGCTTGCTTAATCAACATATTGGAACCAAGGTTTTGACGTAAGTAGGCCAAACATTAACTGATGAAAGTGGATATGATGTTTAAACCATGGATCTTTCCTCCATGTTTTAACCGTGCCCATAGCATCGTACAGCCCCGCTAGCCCCAGACTGGGGCCAGTCTACAGTACCACTCTTCCGTACTACGACTAGTACTACATGTACCTGTCCGTCATGTCCAAATCCTTGGACCCACGACGGCCCATCCCAAGAGTGGAGACTTCGCAAAAATGCTTCGTACTATGAGCCGTATTTTTCTTGTAGTACTGCTCACACACCCAATCCAGTAATTGATCATCAAATTGCCTACGGGCTATTTTCAGTTTGTTTTTGTCCGTGAACTTTTGGTATTTCAGTAATATGTGTGACCGACAGACAGTCACATGTAGCATGCATGGAGGAAGTCACCAGGTCCCTTAACCAATTACTGAGAAAACCAATCAGACTTGAAAATAGGTGTTGATTATATAGTGACGCACATTACTGAGGGCCTGTATGGAGCGCCCTCACAGAGGACATACTCGGGCATATCACACAGGAACAAAGACCTGTCCTGTGAGGGCGCTCCATGCAGGCTCTCTATATTTGGTCATTTCAACATGGCTGTATTCCTTTACTAATCCTACGGTGATTAATTCTCGATCATTTGACGGGTGATAAACACAGTCGCAGAGATGTCAACTTGTACAATTTAGGGGTAATTTTTACAATTTGTTTAGTCCATTTATGACTGTACGATCCAGAATAAGATTTTTACGATATCCAACTTAAGGTACAAAACCATACAGTTGTGTATAAACTCTGTGTGAGCTCGCATGGAGCCAGCCTCGTAATGCGCGTCAGAAATGTGTCGCTGGCATCCTGCCGTTTGTGCATATAAGCTGCGTGAGTAGCGGTAGAAACCAGCGTGATTGAATCATCCATTGGCCCTAATTAATGCTATGATGAACGGGGGCGAATAGGCACAATTAGTCTTCATACATGTACATGTATGCAACGTGATTGTGTATGCCCATGCATTGTACATGTACCGATATCGTACGCACAGACGAGGATTTGATTCTAGGATATTTTGTGAGCAACTGGCTTTGTTTTGCACAATGTCAGGGCTGTTCCATGTAACCTAATTGAACCCACCTAATGACTTGCCCCAATGGTTGAGTTGTCAGTCCATTTGAGGCACATACTGTCCAGCTATTCGAGTTGTCTCAATGGTCGAGTGGTCCTGAGTCGAGATGGCAGATGATGAGTTGTCAGAGCCCCACCATTGTTTACTGCATGTACAGTACCTGAAAAGAGGCCTTGTACAGATAATGTACGTGAACCGGTCTGTGTTGGACATATCGATCATTGTTGATCTGCACGGTCATGTTACACCTTCGGATGAAATTTAATAAAGATTGCTTAAACCTACCAGTAACAAAAACTTTAAGTGTGGTTGAAGGTTAAAGTTCCAATTTTCATTAAAAAGTTTGGTAGAAGTACATGTAAGTTCACTTACCGGTATCTCAATGACAGCTATCCATCGGTAATTCCAGAAATTAGGGGTCCATTTTTTTTCGTGTCCCTGTCACATCTGACATACACTTATGATTTTGTAAGTTCAGGACACATTTTTTAATTTCCAAGAGTGATGAACTAATGCAGATTGCCTGCTAAACAAATAGTAATAATTTGAAATGAATTCCGGTAATCTTTCTGTGTCAAATAACAAAGGTCAGATGTAACAAGGACACGAAAATGTCACACTTTTGTACCCCCAGTTTCTGGAATTACCCCCGCAGAAACAGACAGAAGACCCCGTGAAGTGGCGTGTGACCAGTGGTTTACAAAGTGAAATTTATAGCCCTAACAGTCCCAAATCCTGCGATTTCAATGTGATTTTACATATGCCCTAGGGGGTTAGGCTAAGAAAAATTTCCTAAGAAAACATTTTAACCTGAACACCTTGAAAAGGAAACATAGCATTCAAAGCAAGCTCTGTTTTACACTGATGCACTGGTATACAAGTTGGAGGGCGCCCTCATGTGGATTGTCTAGAAACAGAATCTACTTTATCCCCTGGAAAAGATGAAGTGTTACCGAGGAGTCATAGATCTACATGTAAATATGTAAAAAAGTCCTTTTATGTCGGTCCATGGAGATACATTGTACATATGTGTACCTGTACCGTACATATATACAAAGGTAGATAAAATCTTCAGGTGGTTACAAATCTTTCTGACAAATTGCATCATTGGATTCTATGGCCAACAAGCCATTGATTACAGAAGTGTTGACCCTTTGGGAAAGTGACGTCAGTGAACCAAACAAATCTGTTTCTCCAGATTTTATCTTAAGTACATTTTTTAAGTCACAGATGAATTCATATTATAGAAATGTAGGAACACACAGATATTAGAAACATTTTAAAGTTAAGAAAAGAATCCCTCTCAGTGAACCAGTCACTAGTCTGAAAAAAGTGAATGTGATTGGTCAGTGTGGGTGGAATGTGCTTCAAATATGATTCTGATTGGTGAATTCATTGATATTCACAGTCATACATGTAGTCCACAGAAGAAAAAGATGTTCAGTGGAAGGGATTCTCAAAATAAGCTTTGAAATTTAATTTACTAAAATATCCTCCAAATTCTAAATGCTCAATGCAACACTATGTAAAAAGAAAATACATGTAACTTGAATTTTGGTCAGTTAAAACAGATTTAGTGTTTTGCCTAAAATGGTTCACTTGTTTGTCATCCAATCCCATGATGAAGGTGGAATGTTGAAAAGGGTATTATCCATACTTAAATTTGCAGCGTCCTCACCAACTGGTGATCCTTGTCTGTCTTGGTGTTTGTCAAAATGCTTTCTGGCTAGTGTCAGTAGTGAAGTGAGATTGTATAAAGGTACTGATGATGAAAAGAAACTTCCAGCTTGCTTCAAAAAGTGTTTCATTCAAACATTTTCATTTTTTCATAGGAAGTGAACATACAGCATCTTGCTTAAATTGTACGCATGTACATGCAGTTAGTTACCACCATGTTAGATATTTCGCAGCAAAATTTATGAAAAAATGTTTGTCATAAAATTTGGACAACAAAGCCAAAGCTGCATCACACCACAGAGAGCAACATCTTGATTGTGCTAATTACATGATAAGTGCCATTAACAAAGTAAACAATTGGATTTTGTGTTAAGGTAATGAGATTGAAATCCAAGTAAATGTACCTATTGATTCCACACATCCCTCCCGTTGACTTGCGTATTGACCATCGTATGATGTACAGTACATTTCCAGTTATTTGTACTTGAAAATGTACATGCAGCCAGCAGAAATGTGTTACTGCAGATGGCGTACATGTACTTGTGCGTACCCCACTGTGACAGCTGGTGTGCTCAGTCCACTTTTGTGAGAGCTTTGGCGCCAGCTTGAGTGCTTTTAATCAGAATTAATTTTCACACTTCAGTGCTGACAAATGGAACAGAACACAGAACTTGCTGCAACAAAGAAATCAATTAACTTTGTAAACTTCTTGCACTATCTGGCATTTGCCTGACATGACTCGGTACTTGCCCAGTTGTTGAAGCTGCATTTGGATCAATTTGATAGGTGGAAGTTTCAGTTCGCGTGATGTTTTGTGCATTGTTCGGGAAAGTGTGCACAAATTGCACTGCGAGTGTGATTTTGCGTGCGCGTGTTTGGAGTATTCGCAGCAGGTTTTCAATAGACCTTTATTGAGGTTTCTTTCATTTCAAAATACATGTACGTGTATTGCAGATGTGCATGAATTTGAAATGCTGTAATGTTTGCTGCCACCATGCAGCAGAAATTGTATATTGCTTCAGCCCTTACAGTGCACTTGGAATTCATTAATTGGGAGCACTCGCTGTTTGTCAGAGGGAATAGTGGGCCTATTTTGGCTGAAAATTTGATCTGCATGCATGTTACTAGTAACGTAACTAGTATCTCCACTGAGCACACCTGTGCACGAATTGCAGCGTACATACTGAAGGGGTGCGTTCGCATGGTTACTCCTGTTAACGCGTGTACAGTGTAGGATGCGTTTGCATTACACTCGGGTGCAGGAGTATACCCCCCCTCTAGTGAGAGTATACTCTTTCTGACCCCCGGGTCATACTCCAGCCATTTGAGCGCTCAAGAGTATACTCGTGTCAACGCGAGTAGCTTGCTCGAACGCACCCGATTTGTATTGATATCAAGTTAGAAGTTAGCTCGAATTCTTCTGGTCCTTTTAACAGTTTTTCTTCCATGCACAGAACATGCACGTGATATGCTTTTTTGTGTCTGCTCTGTTCAACGGTAGCCCCAGCCTATTTAGCACTTGTAAAATTCATTAACTCCTTCCAAGCACTACATGTGCCAGCATGTACATGTGCATTATTGATTTGTCCTTGGATGGTCCCTTTCTGTCCCTGAACACTGGCAGCAAACTGTACAGTGCATGAACAAAATGTGCAAGTGTTATCAGGGAGTATTGATCACTGCAGGGTGCAGGCTCAAAACTGCAGCATCACAGATAATCTTGTTGTGTCAGTCAGGGAACCAGTATTGATTAATTACTGGCACTGGTAGCCAGGCTCCTCCATTGTAATTAATTGGTATTGCTCAGTGAACCAGTATTGATTTGTATCTCAGGTGTATGAAATACATGTACATGTATTTAGTTTTTGCGTGCCGGTTGGTTTCCTACACACAGTTGCTGACTGTAATGCTTACGTGCCATGTACTGGAACGAACAAGTCACACCACCTGCATGTTGTGAAATGCAAACTGTAACCTTGTGCTTTATTGCTGTCAGAGAGCTCAGAGCTGTCCTGCCTTGCCCGGCAATCCTCATAATTCTTTAGCATCATCTACACGTTGATAATCATTCATGCTTGTTTCTGCAGTGCGTGTTTGGGCTGTGTTGTGATGCTCTGCAGTGAATGCTACCAGATACGGTACACGTACCACAAGTGGACTGACTGTGTCTCCTTTTCTGTTAACTGTTGACAAGTGGAGACAATTTTTACAAGGTATAGTACATGTACGTGTACATGTATGTGTTTGTTTACTACAAAAATGTGGATAAAGTGCACTATGTGCTTTGTACGTACCATTTGTACAAATTGTAGAGGAATATCGTACAGACACTGTTTGTAGTGTGTGTGTGGGTGTACCTGTATGTGTGTTGGTCATATTTTTGTATTCAGTTAATTGATAATGGTTGATTATGCCCATCTTTGTAGAGTATTGTACAGTGTACATGTAACTCCCATTTTTATTGTGTCTCCTCTGGACACTGTTGTGTAGCAATGTGATTTGTCCCAGTTCTAAATTTGAGATGTAAACAGTGAATGTGCCCACCAGTTTGTCATTTTTCCAGAATGGAGGAGAGCTCCGTTTTCATGTGTATTTAACTTTCAAGGCTACATGTACATGTACTTACATAGAGAGGATGCCACCTACATGTACACGTACATGTACTGTACTGTAGGTATTCATAAATAAGCAGTAAATTGCACTTGCCATATTTTCTTTGAAACAAATAACTTCCATGTTTTTATAAATTCAAAACGTCAGTACCGTGGACATGTACATGTATACAGTATATTGGTTATACCCACGTACGCATATCGACACATTTTTTTAATGTCTCTTGTGGCTTAATTTCCAATTTGCATGTGCCGTGATAGAAACCTCAACCACTGTAGGGTTTTGGAGCTGCGCTGTCAGTCAAACTGCTCTGTAAAAAAATGCAGCCATCTGGAGAAATACAGAATGAATGGAGTCATTGAAATGCATTATGCAAAGGACCGATCTTACTCGGTTATAAATATGCTCTGTTTGTACAGTGGTCTACCTGTGCATGATTGTCTGCATACTCATTCAGAAGTACCTGCTTTGTCTAAGGTGATAAAAAGGAACCATCTGGCAGAAGGAGCAACTTCATAAATTGAGCATTTTTCTTCAAAACATACATTGTACATTTGCACTGTCTACTGATGTCTGTATATACCGGTACACACAATGTACATGTACATGCACACATGTTACAAGTGATTGATGAATGTGTGCTGAAGTTCACAGACATTAATGTACAGTACTGGTACCTTCTTTAGTGGGGCACAATGATAAATTCTGCTTTGTTGGATGTGCATGTATGTACCGTAGACCTGTATTTTTTTGGGGGGGGGGCACTTTTTTCTACTGACTCCGTGGGCAGCCACTGGTGTACATGTACTGGGTAAAAAATAACAGTAAGAGAGTTTGGAGGGCATTTCTTTCAAATGAAATGAACACTTCAGAGGGTACTGCTTGGTTCCCGAAATGAGTTTGTCAAGCCTTTTTGCACCACATTCAAAGCACCGGTACAGTAGACTTGTTTCTTTATTCCCAGGTCCTTCTTTATTTCCAATATCTCATTTGCCCCAGATTTCACCTCCAATGGTACAGGTACACCTGTACATGTACTCCATAGTAGCACTGTTCAGATAGTTTGAGGATGCAAAACAGAAACCATCATTGCTTTATGTTGGCTTACAGAGGGGCCTGTACCCGTTACATACATGTACATGTACACTGCATGTTCGTATTTTACATGTAACAGTGTAATGTGTCTTGTATTCTGCATAAACTGTGCATGCATGTAGTGTATGTAAATCATTGTCTCTGTATTTTCACTTGCCCTAAGCACATTTGTGTACAAATCAAACTGGATGGTTTCAAGACAAATTCTTTATACTGTTGTGAAAGTGAAGATGGCATTCTTTGCATGTTGGTTTTATGGGAGGAAGCATATGAAACTGGCAATAAATGGTTGTAGATGAAATGTACATACATTAAGTGTATGAACTATAAAGTTACATGTATATTGTGTACTTGTGTAATTTTTAAATCACCCAGCTCAAGCCATTGTCCACATGTTGACTATTGGAAGGTGAATTGTTCCCTGAACTTTTAGTAATGGTTGTCAACTTATGTGAAATTTCGGTGTGTGAACATTTACCAGTACATGGTACGGTATATATACTCTCAAGCTTCCAGGATTCTTTAATCCTAACCTTCCCCAACCACACAGAATTAAACAGTAGTAAAGGCCAGCAACCCTTGCGGGGTTAGGGTTAACATCCACTTTGTGCAAGGTTGAAAGGGTTCAGGAGAGCCACCATTTGTTGAGAAACGCTTGATGTCACTTTGGAAGTTAACGTTCTGGTATAAAGGAAGTGTTCTTTGCATTTTGGAGGATTTGAGAGGATTGTGAAAGCCTTCTAGCAAAATTGCATTTGTTTGATTAAAAGATTTGTTTATTTCTTCCCTCTTCAGATCTCATAGCAGCTGACATTACAAGTGACTGCTTGCTTCCGAAGATTGCATCTGCACCCTCGAGCCAGTCCTGTCACTGACCAGCTGTAGCGGTCGACCCGTCGACTGACCCGGCCACAATGTACAACGGCGTGGGCCTGGCCACGGCCCGGGGCAGCGGCACCAATGGCTTCGTTCAGCGCAACTTTGCCCTGGTGCGCAACCAGTCCCAGAAGTTGGACTACAAGTCGGCGGAGGAGGTGGAGAAGCAGGAGGCGCTGCTGCTGCGCCGGCCCAACCAGGAGATCCTGGCCCACGAGCGCAAGCGGCAGGTGGAGCTCAAGTGCGTGGAGATGAAGGAGATTATGGAAGAGCAGGGGTAGGTTCGATTTTCTTTCTGTTCAAATGTTTTAAGGCAAGTTTGTCCAAGATACCAGACGGTTGAGTACAGGCACGTACAACTAAATTTTGACCAGCAGAAACTGAAATTGTCATTAAAATGAATTCCCTGCTTAGTTTTACTTTCTTTAAATGTTTTTCTTGTTCTCATTGTCTTGTGCCCATAGCTTTCCAGTGACTTTGTATTATTGCAGTGTGGTTGGAGCTGTACTAAAATGGCCATTCTTCCACCAGTTTCTTTCAGTTTATTAAAATGAAACGTGACATGCTTGAGGATATGTACTTGTATATAGTACTCCGTACCCGATTTGAAATTACAAATGCTAGGCAAAGGTTTGAAATATTTAACAGGTTTCCTTGGTCTTCCAGCAAGGTTCATCTCACAGATGTGTTATCAATCATACTACCACTCTGTCAAGAGTGGATGTTGCTGTAGACTTATCATTGACTACATTGTACTCTGACGTACCTGTGCAGTAGTACATACAGTATTTTTACTTCTGATTAGGTTGACTCTTATTCCAAATACCGTACATTGTTGAGTTATTCTTTGCCTTTGGTACTACAAATGTGGACAGCTTGGAAAGTGTGCATCTGGTGAGACGAAGGGCAAGATTTTTCTGCTGGCTACTTTAAGAGTATGTCCTGGGCATTCATGGCTTTTTTGTGCAAATTCAGTTGTAAATTGGTCCTGCGTGCCACACACCCTTTGGAAGGTTAAGCCTGGGTAATACACAGGGAGAGTTCAACCACCCTTGCTGTCCAAAATGCCATACAAGAATCTGCTGTGGGTTTTCTGCTCAACATTTATAATGGTTAGATTTGCAAAAGTTCTCCGCAAATTGTACCATTACGTGCAGAAGGAGTCTTTTTGATCAGATTTTGCTCTATCTTGTTTGTCAACATCTTTCATCAAAGTTAATGTGGTATGCAGTGAAGACCTCAACAAGAGATATTATCGTACCCATACAGGGCAGGAACTTTGTTCGTGAAAGGGCTACATGCACATGTAGGCAATTTCTCTTTTGCAAAGGGCACTTGTTGTCAACTTGTCTAGGAGGACATTTCAATGGGCATTGAGGCAAAGACTAAGGGCATCAAGGCAAAGGCCTCCAATCCCTCCGTGAAGTTCCTGCCCAGCTGCCCATTCAGGTACCCGTACCCGGTAGATCTAGAACTTTTCAGTTCAAACCTTGTTTCTTGCGGCACACTCCTTCCTCTGAGCACATGTAGGTCCAGTGTAGTCGATCAGAATTACATAGTTGAAAGGGGGGATAATTTTATTCTTCCTGACATGCAAGAGAAATCGCATTTTGAGTGAAAAACAGAGGTGTAGACATTCGCTGTGGGCATCCCGGCTACGCGTAGGGTAAGTTAAAGACGAGAAAGAGACCTTCACCTCAAAATTGGTCGTCGTACATTCAGGTTTTCCCTTCTTTCTTGAACAGACGTGGTAGAGTTGAACGCCCTCCCTGTACAGCCCAAGGGCTTAATGGACCGTGTACTTCCCCGAGTCCTCCTACCAAGTGCACATCGCAATCAATGTCCTGTTAATTAACACAGCATCAGATTATTGATTACAAGATTGCTGTGTCAGTTGAAATATCACTTGGGGAGTCCTTTTATCATGTCCGCAGGAATTAGATTTTTACACTAGAAATTATTACTGGGGATCTGGGGAACCGTGATTTGTTATCCAAGGCACTTTTAACTGAGCTAATGCATTGAAATCCTATTGCATATTACACATGGACCAGTACTTGTTTATATGTACCAGTACGTGTAAGAGTGTGGTAAGTACATGTACCTACATCGCCGTACATGTACATGTAACAAAAGACTTCCAAGGTGGATCCCAGTAAAAATTTCACAGGATAGTTACAAGATAGCATACAAGTGCATACGTTCTACAATTGGAGACCATTCGTATGCGGGCAGCACATGTTATGCAGGGCTTGATGAAAGAGATCAACGGACTTCTTTTGAGAGCAGGACTGTCAAACAAATGTCTCTCAAATCACCGTAACGTTACTGAATACTTTCTCTGATGGCATACTTGTATAAATACATGTACATGTACTTAAGGTTAGATCTTATGCCTTTAAGAATGCGCTGACCAGAAATGTTCAAGTGAACTTTACGGGTTGGAAGTGTCAGTCAATAGACTTCATGCATTTTTGAAAACTTCCATTCCTACAAATTTAGTATACACACCCATGAGCGCTAGCAAACTGAGCCGGATTATGAGACCCACCACCCTCAAATAAAAATCTTATTCCTCACACCAGCTCCAGATCTCAGCAAAACTTAAGGGAACATGCAAAAGAAATTACGTTCAGGCTGGAGACAACATTCTTTGGGCATAACTGTGTGGACAGGTCCTCTAATAACTGAAGAACTAGTTCATGCACCCCCGGTTCCCTGCAATCGCAACTAGTTTCTCTTGCTTCTCTTTCGGCAGCAAAATCCAGCAATTTTTTCTTTAATCCGTTCGACAATAATGCTGGCGCCGAGATGTTTCCTATTCATGGCTGTGGGCGATTTAGCTGCACGCGCCACTCGATACCATGGAAGATCAAATGGAGTGTGTAATTAACACTACCTCAAGCCCTTCTCCGTTTTTTTTTTTTTTTCTTTTCCCCTCAGCAGTAATGACCAAATATCACTTTTAGTCAAGGGTCGCCGTAGCATGCAAGCCTGCACTTGAGGAATTCACTGAAAATCCTTAACGTGTTGATTTCCTATTCAGTTGCCCGTGCAGGTCTCACTAAACTTGGTCTAAAGCACGGTTGTTGAACTCTGGGATAGTTTCTGTTGACAAACGTGTACGTTGTACATGGACATATAATGGTACATGTACCAGTACATGTACTGGGTACATATATGTAAAGCAGAATTTCATTTGAGATACATTTGCCTCCCATTTTTCCCCTTTGATGCGATAAAATCGGAAAGGTTTGGATTTTTATTTACGTGTTAACATGTGTATTTATTTTTGTGCCTGCACCTGCTGAGCATTAGCTACTGGTACTTGATAGGATTTATTCAATAATGTTGGGAATGATTTTTTGTTTTCCTGTTGAATTTTAATCGATCGTTCCTCCAGTTTACCTTGTTTGGTCTAATTTCGTACATTCACGCCCTTTGATAAGTGTCATATTCATGTAATAATAAAGTCATCCTCTCCAGTGCCGATATATCACGTGTACTTGGAAAGACAAGGCTGATGCTGACATTTGTTTTCCTTTTTCCCCTTCCTTTTACTCTGCTGTCGGCTCACTTAATGGTCTCGTGTTGTGCAGACGTGCTGGTAGGTACATGTACTACTTAAATTAATAAGAGTGTGCACAAATCCTGCCCAAAGGGGAGTTTTTCATTTGTTCATGTCCACACAGCACAGTACTTACGGTACATGCATCAGCAGACATGTACAAAAAAGTGTGTGCAGCTTGACATGTACTACGTGTTGGGAAGGAAGAGGCTTTTTGTTATTTCGATGCCAATTATGGACATTTCTGAAATGTCAGCGTTGACACCCATCAGATTCTAGAAAGTCTTTGAAGTGCGGTGCATGTTGAGAAAATCGTTGGATTTGATCTCTGAGTTTGAAACTAGCCAAGGAAGATCATTTATAAATTAACTTGCGATTGTTTTAGTTCTGTAGCCAGTTGATGAAATTTAAAATTGCCATCGGAACAAAGCAACACTGTGTGAACCTTTATTCTTCAATGAACTTCAACAAGGTGTACAGTAGCATAAGGTTCCAGGACATTTTGTAGGATTGATTGCAGAAGTGTAGCCTACCTACATCCCTTAACATCAACCTATGTATAATTGTTGAATGTACAGGGGTCATTCTATAAATTTAGGGTCCAAAGTATGACATTTTTCCATCCTTGTTCATGTTGTTACCTCTGACGTGTATACCATCTGACGAATTTGACAAGGGATGTACCGGGGTATCACTGAAATTGATTTCAAACTATTTTTATTTGCTTGACAGGCAATTTGCAGTACTTATTCAGTCTTGGAAATTAATGAGTGCTAAATATTGAAAATCAAATGCCAGACCTAACAGCTGAACAGGGACAGGAAAAAAAATGGACCCCAAACATGCCAAATTTACAGAATGACTCACATGTACATGTACCGTATAATGTACATGTACACGTATTTGTAGATTTTTTTTAAAGCACTGACAAAGGTTGAGCCCAACCATACTTTTCTTCGTGGCGCTCAATGGCTCTTGAAAGTTAAACCACCCAAAGAATATGCTATCTGTTTCCTATAAAGTGAAAGAAAGATTGTGGATAATTTGGGAGAGTTTTATGGTACAAGGCACAGGATTTGATATTTGAAAAAGCTACGAGTAGAGGGTAAAGTTTAAATGTACTGATGACTGGTAATGGAGGATGGAAAACCCCTAAGTGCTTGTACAAGCAACAGAGGAAAGTTTAGCAAGATTTGATACAGTCGGATCTGACAAGCTAATGTTCTTCTCATGGACATGATGGTGTCCGTATTTTAGGATACGTGTGGGTAATTCCAGAAATAAGGGGTCCCTTTTTTTTTAATGTGATTTTTTAAGTTCAGAATACATTTTCTAATTTTTAATAATAATTTTTAAGTAATACATGTACATGTCGTTTGAAATCGATTCAAATAACAAAGGCCAAATGTAACAGGGAAACCAAAATGTCACACTTTTGGACACCTAATTCCTGGAATTACACATGTACATGTACATCTTCAGACCCAATCACACTGTATCCCCGCCATCAAAGCTAATGAGTAGAAGCAACTGATGCGTCAATGAGTGACAGTGCCCGAGAGATAACAGCACCATGCCCGCAGTCACCGTCGCATGATGGGTCCCGGGATTTGCCCACTCGGGTGTGAACATTGCCGGCGATCATCACCGAGGCTATAATTGTACACGGCTCTAATGATGCCGTGTCGTGCCAAGGGGAGATCAGCCAAGATGCGCTCGAATGAATTGAGACATTTGCGGCAAAGAGGAAAGGTTACCTAGTCACACAGTGATGTTACCTGGCAACTAGACGTGTGTGGTCCATAATGGACGGCACAATTCATCGGTCATGCGTATAACATGTACTTGGTACCTGTACACGTACTAATTAGCTCTCCCAGCTCAGTTACTGGTATGCTGTTTACGCACAGTACATGTTGTTGTATTTAATCACAATCACCTCGTACTGATATTCCGTACACGTACTGCTTTCATGTCCAACAACTGACTGAAGCTACCTGTAGGCGATGCTTTCACATCCAGACATTATACATGTACATGTATATTACACATGTACGTGTATGTGACCCAGCGCATCGAAATCAGGAGTAACTTTCTAAGCGACTTTTTGAGATGTGTACATGAAAGCTGTCTCTCTCTGACCATGTACATGTCTCAAAAACGTCACTTTGAGACTTGCTCCTGATTTTGATGTGCCGGGTCACATATGTACATAATGTGTATGTACTGCACATGCAGACTTGTTACCGGATCATGTTGGGTACAGTACACATTGAAATATAGATGTTACGGGGACCAAAAATGTTATAAGGATAACTTTTGTTCCCACGATGCAATTCTGACTTTCCTAACAAAAGGGGATCCCTTAACATACCGGCACATGTAGGGAAGGCCTACCCACAGTCATCTTTTGCTACATCAGGGGTCAAAATTAACGGTGGTCCCCTGGCCCGAGACCAGTAGAAAAGTCGACAGACCAGCTGATCTAATAAATCTGGTGGGCCATTTGAAATCTGATGTCTTTTCTGTCTTCACAAACATCTTCCAATAACCTTTTCACACTTTAAAATGCTTGTTTTTATTTGTCTTGCCACTTACATTTGCAATAAAAAAAAAAAGCTGTTATTTTCACAGCTTTCCATTCACGTTTCGCAGTGGTGAAAACACCTGCGCAAAGCTCAGTGCATTAAACGAAGCTGCTCTGGTTCCCGCCGCGCTGCACCCATACAAAAGAATGCATGATGGAAATGTAACTAGAACCAGTCTGTACTGTGCATGTACTGAATGTGCTGTACATGTCCACTACATCGGCCATGCACCCCTGAGGCTGCAGGTCGAAGAGACATTGATGTTGCAAGAGGTTTTGTGCAACTTAATTCATTGAACTTGGTCTCTTATTTATGTATTTTTGTGTTCTTGAGTTTTATTTGAGGTTGTTCTGCCCGCTGGTCTGGATGCATCACGCACGCTTATAATTACCACGCGATACACGGACATTGTTGGCCAATTTGCCATCACTATCGCCTGATAATTTTCCCATGAATTGCTGAATGGAGTGATTTTTACATAAAGACAGGTGTAAATCACTTTTTGAGATAATTGTGGAAGCTTTCGTCACCATTAATGCCATTCAATCAGCACAAAAAAAGTTGTCCCCCCAAACAAAAAAATTTCCGACCTACTGACCCTATTTTTGAGAGGCATAGCACAACTGTTTTGGGGCCTAATAAAAGACTGTGTGTATTGCAGTAGGTCTAAGTTACATGTACATGTAAATAACCATAAGAATCATAGATTCTGAGAAATCTTGGGCAAATGTTTGATCCTATTGGGGCAAGCAGATTTATTGCACGGCCTGCCTGATCAGGCAAACTAAAAAAATTCATCGCGGCCTGCACCCTAACAAGGATTGCTCAAGCGGCTGTGTGTGCGGTTCTGGTAGGACCACCAAACTTTGGATCAGTGAAAGTTCTGAAGTACTGGTCCTGCTGGCTACCATGAAGAAAGGTTAATTTCCCTGTACATGTACCTGTACATAGTATGTACATTTAGACCAGAGAGAAGAAGTATTTCGGTTTCATATTGTTCTCATACATGTCATTCAATATCATGCTCCCTCTCTGACAAAGTACAGGCAGTTTTCAAAAGCACTAGTAATTATATGTATGTGTACGTGTACCTTGGATTGGAAAATGGCCTTTGTTCCCCGTGTATCATTTTGTCTGTAGTAAAGTGAAACAAGAAAGCTACACTGTCGTACAGTGTTGCAGCTGGACCTCTGCATTCGAATGTGTGCCAAAGAAAGATGGGAAAAATTCGTTCTCTACATGTACATGTACATCTACACATAGGTCATCATTGTAGGGTGTCAATGGTATAGAAGATATTTCATGTGGGAGATATTTTTTTTGGCACTGTATATTTGTAGGTATTCGGAAGAAGAGATCACGCGCAAAGTGGCAGCCTTCCGCAAGATGCTGATGAGTAAAGAAGGAGTCAAAGACGATGACGAACCACTTACAAAGTCACAGTGAGTAATGCTTTCAAATGACGGGAATCCTATTTTTAATGGAAGTACAAAGAAATGCTTGCTCATTTCAGTGCTGCGTTTGAGTTTGAGAGGAAATATTTAAGGGATAAATAAGGTATTTAAGGGATGTTCTAGATCTTCCAGTATACGGGTGCAGCAGAATGCCACAATGTGAAATGCATGTGGTGGTTGCCGCTGGGACTTTATTCCAACTCTAGTTTTTATGTTGGGGAAAGGGCACGCCCTTTATTTCATCGTCTTGGATTTGGGAATTTCGAGAAATTGTTGGGGTTATAAAACTTTCATTTTGCGAGCCTTTGAATACCAACCCTAATAACCTGCACCAAAAGGTGAAATTACAAAGTCAGTCTGATGGAATTGGAAAGTTCAACCACAGCCCTCTAATGAGAAGATTGGTGACCTGCGTTTAATGCAATTTGTGCTGTTTTTGCTTTGGGGAAGAGTGCTTACAAAGTCACTGCACACTGCATCATGACATTTCCGAAGGAAGGTTCAGACCAGTGTTGTAATCAAGACCCATGAAAACCATCCAAAGACCTGCTGTCTGAATTCAAGTGACAAGCAATTAAAATGAACGGCCACAAAAGCATTGCATTGTTCACTCTGTTATTTGCATTGTAAATGGGCTTGTGAACGGTTGTGTGATGGCCTGGACAGTATATGTACATGTACAACTGTGATTTACATGTACGTGTCTTTTATGATGCGATACATGTATATGCAGCCATCTTTGTATGGGAACATGACCTGTAATGTGTAGACAAATGGAAAATTGCACAAAAATAGTGAGCAGTAAAATAAGAACTTCTGCCTCTTTCGCATAAATTTTCCTAACTAAAATGAATATGGACATCAAACTTCCATCAGTGGATAGAGGGACATTGGCGCTTTGTACATGTGTAGGCCTGTGGTATGCATATACTTGATGCTGGATGAGCAGATGACAGCAGTGAATCTGGGCTTAGAATAGCCCACTTTTTTGGCACTCATGGTTTCCGGTAGTTTTCTAAAGATGTCTGCATGTAGATGGAAATGTTGAGCTACCCATCCAATCCCTATTTTATCTGCTCAAGCCAACTACAGGTAGCCCAGCCAAGCAGTCACCTTCCACAGACAGAATCTCCCCTCGTAGTTTCCAGAATTTATTCCCGGTGAGCTGAGCCGGCCAATTTTTTCCCAATTCTGTCAGAAGTTCACTGCTCGCGTGATAATTGATTTTGCCCGTAGCCGGCGGCCCCGCGGACGTGGGCGCTCGGAGTCGAATTGCAGAAATTCAGCCAGAACTAGTGAAATCTTAAGCAGACGTGGAAATCCAAGTTGGTGAAGTGTGTGTCAAACTGATGGATGGAATGAACTGAAAAAAATTCCATTTTGTGGAACATGGTCGTGTAGTAGAGGCAAGGACATTTTGCCTTTTGAAAATATTGATAGCACTACACGTACATGTATGTACCTGGACATCCCTCGACAGCCGTAAAGAGCCAAATGTTAGCCAACCAAATGTAATTTAGCCCTTCAGTCATTCGTGATCCTCTTAAAGGGCCCACGCTGTGAAGCCCACAAATTGTACTGACTACTCGAATTGGCCTTCCTGGTTTAGTTTGCCTTTGCTATTATGGGAACTTCTCTAGCATACATGCAGTATCTCATATAGAGATAATTTCAGAAATTAGGGGTCCATTTTTTCGTGTCTCTGTTTCATCTGACGTACATGTATGATTTTTGTAAGTACACCTTTACTAATTTCCAAGAGTGATAAATTAGTGCAAATTACCTGCTGAGCAAATAGTAATAGTTTGAAAACAATTCTGGTGATATTTCCATGGCAAATAACAAAGGTAAGATGTCACAATTTTGGACCCCTTATTTCTGGATTTCCCCATAGTACAGAACTACATTGTACAGTACAATGTACAGTACAATGTACAGTACAATGTACATAAACATTTGTATACATTTAAATGGTATTGTAACCTGGGGAGTCTTGTACCGGTAGGTGTCTCATGCACGTACAGTAGTGAAGGTACATGTATACTACTTGTACTTTTGATTTCTGAAAGTTCTTGCCGTGCGTCTGGCACATGATGCCGCGCACATGTAAAAATAATTGACAGCGTCTCTACGAATTCAGGTAACCGCTTCCCCCCTTGCTGTGAAAGTCACGTACATGTACGGTATTTGCTCACCTCAAAATTAGCGCGTCAAGTGCTGGCAGATAAATCAGCATGGGCTGACTAATTAGAGACTGATCAAAATATGCAAGATCCCGCTGTACCGGTAGATGTCTGTGGCGAAGGTTGACGAGTGGAGAGACGGTAGCCCACTCTATATACCATGGAGCTGGGTCCTACAAGTACATGTACTGTACTGTAGTAGCTCTACATGTACAGAGTGAATGAGACATAAAGAGTTCCACCCAGCTCTGTTTTTGCCAGTAGACGTATGTTCCACAGTCATACCATGATCACACAGTAATCAAGTGACTCGCTTTAAATGAGCAGCATGTTGGTGATGTGTACCGGTCGGCCCCCTACATGTACTTTTAGTTTGGTTGTTACTTCATGGGTTTAAGGAGTGTCCCCTGCTGAGATAAAATAGAGGAAGGTGTCCCATGGCGTACCAGAGTTTTAAAAAAAAAAAATCATGAATTAATTTTTAATTTTTTTTGTAATTGCACCCAAGACAGAGGAAATGCCCACATTGAAAAACAAGTTGTATAAAATTTCTTTACTCTTCGCCTGCATTGAGTTACCATTCATGTATAAAGCACACATTGTATGGTAAGTTGTTCAATATCTTTTGCTACTAATGCAGTGATAAAGTGTACATGGTACTTGCAAAAGTGAGAGAGTACCGTATTAGAATGTGACTGTATAAATACAGACACATTATGTGGTTCATGTGTACGTGTATGTAGATGTGCTGGTTTGAGTCTGATAACTGCAGTTGGTCTTGCTCCACTGATCTTTAATCCTCCTGCTGGTAATGTTGATGCAATTGAATGTAAATATATTGTACTTGTGCATTTATATTGCATGTAAAATATTCAACTTAATGCAGCCCTAGCAGTCAGTAACAGGGGCAATGAGGCCAAAATTTCCACGAAACAAAGACCCTGAGGTGTAATATTTTCTGCAAAACGAGTTTAGAAATTGGAAAAACATCCCCCGCGCTGTAAAGTTGACCAACCTATTACTTCACGGAATAATCAGTTACACGTGTGTACATGTACATGTAGTTGAGTCTGCTGGGTGCGATCCAAAACCACTTCTTGTGGGACAAAAGACCCAGCCGTAGCTGTAGCTATGGAGGCCTGTTTAAGACACAACCTAAGCCTGTCTATGCATGTGTCAGCTGGGTTACTGCACATTATGCCGGGCGAGGGTGGCTGGCCCAATGCACCCAGCCGTATGTGCTAGGCACCTGCGGCAAATAATCACCCATGAATGTTTGGCTGCAGAACAGAATACACGTACATTTTACGTACATGTATTGTAAATCGAAGCCAATTGCAGTGCAGGCAAGCCTCATCATGCGGTACAGTGCTGCAACGTGGCACGTCAGGTCTGCCAGCTCGGCTGGCCTGGCTATATGTGCACCCATGTGGCCTGAAGACGACCATGTGCTGGTATACTGCAACACGAAATACACTCATGTGAATATGAAGTCGAAAATTTACGGGAAAATAGGTATTTTTTCAGGGGCACCACTGCCAGGAAGAATGGAGCAAACAAAGGGGACATTTTCAGGGCACCATGGCCAATTGTAAGGGCACCGTCCGCCATGGCCGCAGGGCTGCAGTGAAATTTGAGCGCTGTACATGTACCTGTATAAGTGTCGCCATGCTGGCTTATTTGAAAGTCACTTGTAACAAAGGTTCAAAAAAGGAACCTATGCACTGGAAAATATGTACGCAGTTCACATAACTTTCACCTGTGCTGTGTATCTTACCGGTATGCCAGTACCAACACATTTTTACAGTATGGTCTTCTGCCGTGTACACACAGAATATGTACTGGTACGGCACATGTACACTGTACATGTGCACATGTACATTTGCGTCAGTGTCAGGATTGGCGGGAGAATTGGCAAGGTTTGCAGCCAGAATCCCGACGAGAGCACTGAAGTGGAAACGTGGGAGGTGGTCTCCCTTGGACATGTCAGGGTGTATGAGCTTGTGTACACCTACAGTGCATCTGTCGACAGTAAATTTCCTCTATAACTTGGCATGAAACCCTTTTGCATAAACTTGACACTCAATAAATTAAGGCAACTACCGGTGGTTACTAGAACATGTAGCTATGGTACACATACACGACCGTTACCGGTAGACCCACTTCTATATACATTTACTTACATGTTATGTATTTGTGCATGATTGTTTAATGCAAGCAGTGTTCTTCATATGGTACTACATTGTGCATACACATATCAAGATGCATGGACTTTCAATTCATAGAATGAACAAAGTATAAGCACCATCGATGTAACGATACATTGATATATCGATATTATCAATGTGGGTTTGATATCGATATCGCCGATGTGAGTTATTTGGTTATATAAAAAATATCAGATTTTGGAGAATTATCAAAAATATCGGAAATGTCAAACTTTGAAAACATTGATATTGAAAAATATATCGAAAATATCGCTACCGAGGAACAAACTTGATTAAAAAATACGAAAGTGCATGGTCACATTACCGTAATTTTCAATAAGCCACGACTTACGTTGGTTCTGAGTGAAAAATGCCCCTGTAGCTTATACATGTAATCCGGACGGCTTATACAGCGACATTTGAAGAATAAATTCAGTCACCTACATGTATCTCAGTCTCGCACTCAATAATTCGCGTACACTTTGTCTCAAAAATATCACAAAATTTATCCTCCAAAACAGAGAATTATTTGCCAACCAAACGTACGTACATGTACACGTACATGTACGTAGACTAGCACCACGTGCTGATGATATCG